GATGAAATAGACATGAAAAACTATTTTCTTATTTAATATTTCATAGATATTTGTATTCTAGAATATTAATTTATTGGATTAAGGCCAAGTGTTATTTGTGGATCATGTTGCTATTTGGTTATAAAACTAAGAATATAAGGAGTAATTTAAAAAAAATTAATATAACAAATTGAAAAAAGAAGCGGGTATTAAGAAAAATAATTAAAAGAATCAGGATGGAAAATATGTTAAATTATTTAAAAAATTGATGAGAAAAAGTTCGAAGCTTTGAAAAGAAAATATAGCAAAAAATAATTTTTTGAAGTTTCTAAAATAAAAATTTAAGAAATGAAAAATAAAAAAAGTAATAATAAAAATGAAAAAAACTTTTAATAAAATGAATCTGAATATAGTAACATTAATAAAGATAATATTTTTAATTCTAATCATGTTAATAGTTAAAGTTAAATTAATATAAAATGAACTTTTTATATTTTTTTTTTAAATGATTTCATATTTTAATATCTTTATTTCTTTTTAAATTAATTTATTTATTTTAAAATCGTATAAGATTAGTATAAAAAAATATTTTATAAAAATTCAAAACTATTGTAATTTTTTAAATAATAAAATATTAAAATATATAAAAAATAAAATTAATTGAATATAATATAATATATAATTAATATTTTAATATATATACCTAATTAATAAAAATATTTAAATAAAATTTATGTATTTTATACGAAATAATTATATTAAATTAAACATAAAAATAAAATAAAGAATATATATGCAAAAATAAAAAATAAAAAAATTAAATATATGAAATATATAAATATATAAATATATAAATATATAAATATATAATATATATATATATATATATATATATTATTTATTATTATTTTAATATATATCTGAAAATATTTTTATTATATTTACTATTATCTATTTTTGTTTATATATTTGAAGCATAAATCAACAATAATTACTAAATTTTTAATATTTTATACAAAAAATCAATTCATAAATATTCTTTAAAAATAATAATCTATAAATTTTAATAATTTATATTTATAAATATATCTTATATATTTTCTTTACATTTTTTTAATATTGAATAAATTAGAATATATACATATTGATATTTTTACCTTTATAAATAGTAATTAAAAAATCATTTTATATCAAATTTATAAAGTTATTAATAATACATACACAATTGATTTATAAATTTCGGATTAATAAATTCCTTAATATGATGTTATTTTAAAATTTATTAGATTTATAAATAAAATGAAGAGTAGTCATTTTATACATAAATTAATCTTTAAATCAGACTATTTGTTTCAAAGATATATTTTTATTTTTTAAATAAAATAAAAATAGTCTATTTTTTTTGTCAAAATGTTTATTTTTTTATTATTTTTATATCTATAATTTTTATAAATTTAATTATTTGTATCTATATAAATGTTAAAAATTTATCTAAATAAAAGAATTAATTATATTAACTTTATACACAGCTAATTTTTTAATTACTCTGTATATTAAATTATTGCTTTATATACTTTAAAAACTACAATTATTTGGAAAAAAGTCTTTTCATTAGTCTCACCATAAATAATTTTAAAATAATTTTTATTTACTATTAATTAATATATTTTTAAAAAGGTGGAAATTATAAATATAGTATTAAAACATGTATTTATAAAAATTAAATAGATATAGAATAAAACTAGAAGTAGATTATTTAAATTTAATTTTTTTTAAAAAAGTATGAAATACAAAACGCTTAAAAAGGAGAAGAAGATTTAAATAAATTATAATAAAGCATATTTTAATTATAAATTAAATCTAAACAATTTATTGATTTAAAAAACCTAAATAATATAATAAAAAATGAATTCGAAATATAAAATACTACACTAAAAATAGAGTTGTATATATGCATATGGATATAACAGAAAGTTTTATTTTATAAGGAAGCGGTACTTTTTAAATTATCTGTTTAAAACATATTTTTAAAAAAGAATATTTTATTAAATTAATTAAATAATAATAATTTATATTTCATTATTTTAATAAAAATTTAATTTATATATACATTTATTTTCATATATTATTTTATTGATTACTTAAAGCATTAATAAGAATACGATTAAAAATATTAAATTATTCTTAATTTTATTATTATTTTTTAATGGCTTTGCTACTTTTTCCAAATAATTAATTATATTAATCTTTATATTTCTCCCTTATATTTATTAATAAATCCCACTAAATACCTGTAGGACTTCTATACATGTTTATATATTTTTGTATTTATATATTGTTTTATTTGAAAAAAAAACCTTGTATATCCTAGTTATTTAATAACTACTTCAGATCCATTAGAACTATTTATTTTTTCTAACAAATAAATGATTCTTTTTAAGTAGCTTTGTTCTTCTTAATATATGTAAATTGCACATAGAGCAATTGACTCAACAAATAAATGTTAATCAATAAATTCCTTCTGTACTTAAAAACTTTTATGTGGAGAAACATTTGTCGTATTATTTTAAGATAAATAACATTTCTAAGTATTTTATTCATATAAAGTAGCCAAAGATTAAAAAATGTTATATAATTAAGCTTTAGAAAGTAAATAAGGGAAAATTTGGAAATCATAACAAAATTTAAAGAATTTTTCAACATTCATTTTTCCATATTATGAATAAATTTAAAAATATACGAAAATTTATTTATGAATTTCTTCTAATAAATCAATCTTTTTATTATAGATTAATTAAAATTAAAATATTTTTTTTTTTTACAATTTCTTAATCATTTAAAATATCCATTAAAGTATTAATATATTCATTTGTTTATCTTAATTTACATTCTTATATTTATAATTGTAATTTAAGAATGTAATTCTGAATAATATTCTAGAAAGCCTGATCTTCATTTAATTCTTAATAAATTATTTTCGAGATTTCCTGAAGGATTTTTAAAAAATGTTCATATTCAATTTTACCTTTTGCACCATTTTTTTGATTATTTTTAAATGTAGGAGATTTAATTTATAGATTGTAAAATTTTTACTACTACTAATTAAAGTTTATTATGCTTATGTTTCCTGTTAATTTTGCAACCAAACAATCTACAAATGTTTAATTAATTTTCTCGTTTAAAATGCCTACTTCTTTTAATAATTTTAATAGAGTTATTGATTTCATTGTTTAGGTGTTACATGGATCACCTTATTATTAGCAAAAAAATTTGAATATTTTTTTTAAATCTTCATTATATGTTTCAGCTATATTTTTTTTTTTTTTATCATTTTCTAATTTTTCTTCTAATTCTTATTTTTTCTTTAATTCACTATTCGTTTATGTAAAATGAGGACTTCTTGAAGCTGATTTTTCACAATCATTTCCTTTAATCTATTTTGTTCTGTTTTTATTATTTTATACTATAAAAAAATAAATACTTATTTGAATGCATTTTCTTTAATTAATAAAGTCATTTTAGAATTATTTGTTTAATGATTTTTTTATTAAAAACATTAAAATCCTTAACTAATTTCCATATGTTCTAATAATAAGATTAGCTTTTCAAAGTCTGAATTTTATCTTTGAATAATTACTTAATAAAATTCTTTTGATAATATTTAACTACTTCTAATAATAAAGGTAATAAACTTATTTAAAGTAAAAAGTGTCCCTTAATCTTCTAACCCATAAGGATTATATACCTATTAATTGTTTTTTAACAATTCATAATTATTACATTCTATTAATTCAGTAAAAAGCAAATAAGATATACTTTTACTAAAAAGTTTTGGACATAATTCATAATCTTTTAAAAAAATAAATAAAGAATCTAAAGATTTTTAAAAATTTTCTTAATATTGTAATTAGTTTATATTTTCCCAAGGGAAATAAACCTGATTTTTTTAAATAAATATATATATTCATTAAAAAAACAAATATAAAATAAATTTTACACAATATATTTTTTTCAATATTAAATTTATATTTTTCAAAACTAAAATACATTATTAATTTATTGGTTAAGAGATTGATTATAAATTAATTCCTAAATCAGTTTATTAGTAAATTATGTCAAAAATTTTATCAAAATAGTCTTGAATTAACAATAATAAAGAGTTTTCTTAATTTTTATCTTAATAAATAATCTAAGAAATCTTTGTTAACAAATTACAAAAGCCTTTGAAATCTAAATTCTGTTTGTTTTAAGTAAATTACACATATAATAAATCTAAAGTATTTTAAGGTATTAAATTATCTTTTATCTCTATATCAGACATTAATTTATTAAATTTGTTTGATTTTAAAATCTAAAAATTTTAACGGTCTCCAAATGTGCAATAATAAGTAAAAATAACTCTTAATCTTTATTTAATGCTTTCTGAGTTAAATTAATAAATATCTTTTTGTATATTTTGGCTTTTGCTTATTGATTATATAGTATTGTCATATTCTGGTTGTTAAAACTTTTATTCGCTTAATTTTGATATATTTGTAAATGTAGATTATGTTTACTTTACAGGAGACTTCGAATCTATTTTATTATTTATATTTTAAATAAAGATTTCTTACATTATTGTATTTGCTGTGAAGACATTTTTTTTATTTAGATAAAAATATATATTTACTTATTTTTTTTATTTATAAAAATAAGAAAAAATTAAAATATTTAATAATAATAAAAATATGTTATTTTTAAATTTTTTTTTTTCAAAAAATATTGCATTCTTATTTCTTTTGGTTTTATTTTTATTTTTGATTTTTTTTTAAGGTCTCTTTTTATTGTTATAATTATATTTATTATATGTTTTATTTTTAAATTTGGATTTATAATATTTCATTTCCTTGATTTTAATTGATTTATTCTTCTTATATTTATTTTTCGATTTCTTCTAATGTTTTAATTTCATCTGAATTTAAATCTATATCAATAGGAATTTTACCTTTTATTAACTTTTTTAATAATAAATATAAAAAAAAATACTTAGTTTTTCCAAGTTCTCTATTTTATTCAAAGGTAAAAGCACCCAGTCATAAATAAAATCAAATATAAAACCTTAATTATGAAAAGTTTCTAAAAGAATACCTTTTAAGTAGGTATAATCTGGTTTATCTTCAAAACCTAAACTTCTAGAATATTCTAAAAAAAGTTCAATACTTTTCGGACACCCTTTGCACAGTTCTTATATAGATTATTTAGTTTTTATTTCTTTTACTTTTTAGAATTTTGCTTGTTTGTTTGTCATTTTCAAACCTTTCCAAGGTAAGCTACCCTTTAAAAAATAAATTAACATATAAGCAAGGCTTTCAATATCATCTCTTCTTGATAATTCATATCCTAAGTGTGCATTAATACTTGCAAATCGAGAAGCACCTTTTTTTTTATTATTTATGATACTTTAAAATAAAATTAATACCTATTAAAGGTTTTTTTTCTCGAAAAGGTATATGCTCATGTGTTTAGGAATCCTTATATTTTTTTGCGGATCCAAAATTTAATTAAAATATTTTATTTATGTTTTACAATTAAATACCCAAATGAAAGTTTTATGAATTTATCTCACGATTTATATATGATTTATAATGCATATATTCTATCGATTTTAATATTTAAACTCCTATCATTAGCACAGTTTTTAAAGAAAATTTTCGATTACAATTTTAAAATAATTACTCTAAGCTTTCTCCTAATTCTTCCATTACCAAAAAATTGTTATCTCCTTCTTAACCACACCTAATTTTTTTCTTTATTTATCTTCTTTTTTTTTTTTTATACCAAAACATGCTTGGAATACCTATTCCTCCTTATAAATTTTACAGGATCTTTCCTTCATATAATAACTTTTTTTTTTAAAAAAAAAAAAAAAAATATGTCTTTTTTGTATTAAAAAATCTTCATATTTTTTATATTCGCTTTTGTTTAAAATATTTATTTTTTTATTTGCTTTTATAAATCAAAAACAATAATAAGATACTATTGTATTTTGTATTAATTTTTTTTTTATGCCGATTAGTTTGAAAATAAAATTATTAAACAAAAAGCAGATATTTTAAAACTTATATGATTTTTAATATTTTATCTAATTTTTTATATTTATATCATTTTTAAAGGCTTTAGTATTTATTCATATTAATATTTTTTTTTTACTTTAAATATTAATTACTTGTGGATGACGATATTTCGTTTCTTCAATTTTTATTAAAACATTTTAGTCACTTTAAATATTTTTTGCTTAATAATGTTAAACTTAAGTTATTGATCTTATTTTTTTACCAAGCTTAAAGTGTCCACATATTCGAATTTCAGTTTAACTCATATATTTTATTGGTATTAAATAATTGTTAATTAGTAATTTAAACAATTGAACTTAAATAAATATTTTTTTATTAATGTTTAATTATAAAATAAGTTTTATTATATTAGAGATATATATATATAAATATATATATTAATATATATAATATATATTATATAATATATATTTATTAATATATATAATTATCATTATATAATTTATATTTTTATCTTTAAAATATATTTATATATATAATAAGTATTTATATTCATTATTTTTATTCTATTGTTACAAACTTTTTTTTAATAATAATAATTTTTATTTTATTTAATTATTTTTATTTTATTTATTTTTCTTTGTAATCATATTGTTTGAATTTAATATTATCATTAATATAATCTTTTTTACCTATATTTTAGCATTTATTTATTTTATTATTATTGTTTTTGCAATATTTTAGTTTTATTTTTTATTAGTTTTTTTTTAATTTTTAAGAAAATATATTTTAATTTTTTTTAAAAATTATATAAATACTATAATTGATAAATTTAGTATTAATATATCTATATATTTAAAACTAATTAATTCAATTTAAACTTTTTTATTATTTATATAAATATTAAAATTTTATTATAACTTTTATTCTAAATATTTCTTAATATTTATTTTAAAACACTTATTATAACTGTCTATTTATACATTTAAAATGTATTTCCTTTACAGTTTAAGTATAAATAAAACAAATAAAAAATATTTTATTTGTTTAATGTTTTTAAAATTAAAATAAAATATATATTACCCTTTATTTTATTTTATTTATATTTTTTTTATTATAATAAAAATATGTTCACAAAGAAATTTAATAATTTTTTTTTTTCATAATTAAATAAATAGTTAATTTATGAAAAACAAACTAATAATTTGATTCCGATAGTTTTAATTGGATCTTCATTTGTAAGTGATTATTTAAGTGATGGATCGTCCTTTGGTATAGGATTAGGGATGATAGGTTTAGGAGTAAATAAATATATAATTTTAAATAATATTATTAATTAATTAAAAGACAATATTTCTTTAGAATATTATGCCTAATAGAATTTACTATGATGAAGAAAATTAAAAACTAATATTTTATTAAAAAAACAGACTAATTTTTTTAAGATAAAATGAATAAGCTTGTTAAATATAAAAATTAAAAATTCTTTATATGAGCAATACAAGTGCTTTAATTAATTGCTTTGATAATGATATTTACAAAAACTATTTAATTTTATTCGATGCTTATAAAAATGTATAATTAGTTTCCATACTGAAGAATATTAAATGAAAAGCTTAGTTTTAAAAGAATAATTATTATTTTATATAAAAAAAAAACATTTAATTTTTAATCATTATTAACTATAAGTTTAATTTATATAAAAAATATTTTTTTATTATTAGTTTATTTAAATTCTTAATATTTTTTCTTATTTCTTTTTGATAAAAATCATTGTTATGAAAGAAATTAAAAAAAAGTTATTTGTATAAAAATAAATGATGAGTTTTAATTTGAAATAAAATAAATCCTTTAAATTAAATAAAAACACAAAATAAAATAATATAGAAAAAATTAAATTAAACATATATATTACATATTCTTTTATTAAATTAATAAAAAATGTGAAAGAAACCTTATTTTTTTTATATAAAATCACTTAAATTTGTTGTGTTTTTTTATTAAATAATTTAAAAATTATTAAATTAAATTAATTAAATTCAATTTCAAAGTTGTAATTTTTGAATTTTATTTTAAATTAAAATAATGTTTTATTTTGTAAGGCTATTAGTATACTCTTAAACAATTATATTAATTTTTGAATTTTAAGCAAAACAGTCATACTGATTAAACTTTTCCAATATTAGCTACTAAAGTGAATAATAAGTAATTAAAGATTCTAAGCAAATTCCAATTTTTTTAATTTTCTCATTGACAAAATCGTTATCATATAAATTTTAAATGCTTTTACTCAGTATATCGTTGGTTTAATGTATTATTAATTTCATATAACTTTAATTAATAATATAAAAACTTTGAAATTCAAAGAAATTTTTGTCAAAAATAGAATTAAACTTTTAATCTTCTATTGGAATTTTTAATATTTCATCATAAATTTTGTTGAAAGCGTTTATATATTTTATTTTGTATTCGTTTATGATTAATTAAAGTTTTTAAAAACTATCAGATTGCATATATTTGGTTAAATTAGTTAAATTTATTTGATTTATTTATTAGTTTAAATAGGATAACTTCTCGATTTTTATTACCACGTTTTTTATTATTATAAATAATATTTTATTTTTTAATTCGGGTGATATAAAGTCTATGTTAGATGATATGTTCTTATATAGTTTATAAAGAAACCTACAAAAATTAATTTGGGCCAAAATGATTTAATCATTTTTCTAAAATTCTTTTAAATATATATCTTCCATATTGTCAGTTTCTTATATTTAAGTGAAAATTTCATGTTTTTTCTCATTATTATTTTAGGGAGGTGTACTGATATTTTTATTATCATTCTTTTTTTAAAAAAATTAATATTATTTTTGTTTAATTTAATTTTTTTATATTACACTAATTTTTAAAGGAGAAAATTAATTGATAATTTACTAAAATCCAGTTTTTATATTATTTTCTGTGCTTTTTTCTTAATTTGCTTATTATATGACTATAACTTATTATTTTACTAAATTTTCTTAATTTTGATTAACAGGATTTATATTTAAATTATTTATTATTTGTTATTAAAATAATTCTTATAATCCAAATCTTTTATTTTCATCTATTTGCAAACATCCTTTAATAAAGTTTTTTGATTCTTCAGATACTTAAGGAAATTAAGGAAATTAAACAGGCACAGTACTTATTTTATTAATTAATTATAGTTCAGTAGTGGCTGTCCAAGGAGTTAACCCATAAAGCATTTCATAAAAAAGAACTCCAAGTGACCAAATATCGCTTTTATAAGAGTACAAATTTTATTTTAAAGATTAAGGACACATATACATAGGAGTTCCTACATTATAATAAATTCTACATTATTCACCATCAAGATCTTTAGAAAAACCGAAATCAGCAATTTTTGGAATACTATCTTTAATTAAAATATTAGCTAATTTTAAATCTCTATGAATAACCTATTTTTAATTATTTTATTTTTTTTAAAAAAAAAATGTATAAAATTATAATTTTACTTTTTTCAATTGTAATTCTTATATTCCACTAACTATGTGTCTAAGTATTTTGGTACTTACAGACTCAGATAAATATCCATATTAACTAATGAGTTATTTTAAATCTCCATTGTTACAAAATTCAGTAATTATATAAGTATTGTTTACGGTTTAGAAAATATCTAATAATTTAAGACAGTTAATATTATTTAGTTTCTTTAATACATTAATTTCATTTTTTAATAAAAAATGTTCTACTTCGTTTTTTATACTTCTCATATCTATCACTTTTATTGCTACTTCATCTCCTGTATTTTCATTTTTACCTTTATATACTTCCGAAAAACAGCCTTTACCAATTTATTCATTCAAAAAATAACTGTATTTCTCAATTATTTTTTTGTGAACATATTGTTAATGAGGTTGCTAAGGCTATACTTATTGTTGCTAAAGTTATGTTTATATTTATTGTGATTAGATAATTTATTATTATTATTATGTTGATTATAATTAACTCTTATGGACATGTTTTTATATTAGACTTGAAGTCACTATTTAAGTTTAATTCTTGGAAAGTTGATAGTGATTAACTTAATGATTAATTTAAGGCTTTTATTATTATATTTAAGTTTGATGATAATGTTATATATTTTATGAATATTTATTCATATTTTAATTTATTTTTCTTTATTTTTTATTGATTTTTTTTAAAAAAATAATAAATAGTATTACTTAATTTATTTTTTTAATTATTTTATATGTATTATAATATTAATTTTAAACATATGTTAATACTTTTTTTTTTAATTTATCTGAATTTCTAATTTAATTTTATTTTAATAAATCAATAATTAATAAAATTATAATTTTTTTTTAAAAAAAACTATTAATTACTTTTTTTTTAAAAAAAAAAAATTAAGATAAAGAATATATTTTATATTATTTATACTAAAAAAAAATTTAAATGAATATATAAAAATATAATGAATTTAAAATTTTATTTTTTTAAATAAAATAAAATTAATTTAAATATATATATATATAAAATTATATTATATTATATTATATTATATTATAATAGATATAGATATTAAAAAAATGTTTAAAATATTTTTTTCAATTTATTTTAAGTATTTATTTATTTAGTTTACATATAATACCTTTATTTTATTAATCATTTTTTTAAAAAATTAAACTATAAAAACTATAATATTTTTTTAAAAACAAACAATTTATTATATTTTTGTTAAATATTTAATTCTATTATATTATATTATCAAAGCTAAATATTTGTTTTACTAAAAGGTTTAGAAATCAATTGATTAATAATTAAAATAAAATTTCCTCATATTACATTTGCGAGAGAATGTAAAAACTAATAAGAATCTAAAATAATGATTTTAAACTTATTTAAATTTGTTATAACTTGTTAATTTTTTTTTTATTCAAGTAATAGTTATGAATATTGATTAAACTCTAAAGTTAAAATATTCATATGATTTAATTATCAATTATAATATCTGGTTTAAATATTAACTTTTCTAATTAAAAAGTTTAAATAAATTCATATTTTGAATTAAAAAGTTTATTTAGACTTAAACTTGGAAGGAGCTTTAAAAGTTTAAATAAAAATAGCATTTAAAATAGTTTTTTTTCTATATACAAATTTATTTATTTTTTTCATCAAAAATAAAAGTTTATTCGAAAATAAAAAAAGTTTATTAGAAAAAAAATAATAGATTTTCAAAAAAATTATTATTTTATTTAAAAAAATGTACTATTTCTTACTATCTTCAACATTAAATATGTATATATAGACATTTTATTTTAATATTTTTTACTTTTTAATTAATAAATAATATTATATTTTACAAACCAAAAATTATTTAACTATTCAATAAATATTTTTAATTGAAAAAGTAAAAAAACAAAAATAAAAATGCAAAAATATATTTTATTAATAGATTTCCTTGTTATTATATGCATAAATACATACAAAATAGGAATAGTAAATCTAACTCCTTTTTCAAATTGTAAAGTCGGCCAAACATATACTAATTAAAAATAGTTAGAAGATCTAATTGGGCTTGAAATAACAATATTAAAAAAAATATTAGATCCAGATGCCTAATTAATATGTTATAAAGACGAATCTTCATTATTATAAAGCTTATAAAAAGACGAAATTTAATATGGTATAGGAGGTATAATAATAGACGTAGAAAAAATCGAAAAAGGATATTAATTTTCAATACCATATTACAATTCAGGTTTAAAAATGATATTATTGAAAGAATAAGAGTAATTAATTTGGAAATTTTTCTATCCTTTTGATTGGCATTTATGGCTTTTTTTATTAATTTTAGGTTTTTTGGTTGGAGGAATAACATGGATATTTGAAGAGAAATAACTAAGTATAAAAAAAATGTCTAAAATTTAAAAAAAGAATCTTTTAGAAATGATTTGGTAATCTTTTTCATCTTATTTTTTTCTTTTTCGGTCAAATTATAGAATTTTTAATCAAGAGTATTTATGTTGTCTTTTTGGCTTTTTATTTTGATTATTTTGGCTATTTATATATCTGATTTAATTTCTAATTATTATATATATCATCAATATGATTTTGATATTGAAAAAATAAAGCATCTTTCATATGCTAATATTTATACTTTTTCCGAATTTTTAAATTCATATATTTTTGAAAAAGATTTTTAGGCAAAAATACATACTTTTTAACGAAATGCAGAAGGACAAGAATAAATACTTGACTAATTTTTTAAATAAAATCAAAGTAACGGTACTTAAAATATTATTATTGCAGATATTCCATATATTGATCACATTAATTAAATGGATTATTGTACAGTACTTGTTTAGAATGAAAGCATTAACAATTTTAGTTATGGTATTATTACAAATTCTTAAAATGCCTTTTTACTCCCGATTTTTAATAAAAAATTATTGTAGTTTAAATAAAATAAGTTCTCGGTTATATTGTAAAATTAAGACAAGTATTATTCTTCTAATTTAACAAATAATTGCAAAAATAATGAAAAAAAATTAAATTTGAAAGAATTTATTGGACTTTGGATTATTCTCGGAGGACTAGTTGTAATAAGCTTTATTTGGCATAAAATTAGTATATACAAAAAAAATAAGAGATAAAGTAAATAAAAAAGTCTTATTAATAATTAAAAAATAGAACTCTAAACGACTCTTTAAAGGAAAAAAGATAATTCTAGTACTAATAATAAAGTACTTTTTGAATCTTAATAAGATCAAAAAAATAATGTATAGGAGTTTTTACTTATTAATGATTATATTCATATTCCTTCTAAAGATATTCATCTTAAATTGCAAGAAGAAATTCAAAACCATATTAGTTAAATTCAAAATATTATCAAAAATCGATTTGATAAAGTAGAAGATAAAATTGTTCTTTTAATCAAAAAATCTAATCTTTAATTAAGTAATGAAAATATTGGAAGTGCAGATAAAAATTTTTGAGTTTCTTTTTTATTATATTTATTTTTATGTTTATTAATTAGTGAAATATCAAATTTTGATAGAAAACAGTTTTTTTATAATTTTTTTTTTTTTTTTTAAGAATACAAAATTATTTTAGATACAATCTAATATTCTATAAATTAACTGAACTTTTTTATATGTTATAAATAATTCAATTTTTTTTATTTATCATTTTAAATTTGATATAATTTATTAAATAAGAAGGGATACTATGAATTTAATTTCTAAAATCAAATATATATATATATATATATATATATATATATATATATATATATATATATCTTTTAATATATAATATTGAATTAAATTAATTTGAGTTAAATATTAAAGGTATTAAAAAGCAAAATAATCACATTAATATTTATATTGCATATACAACCAAAGATTGATTATCTTTTTTATTTTTATTTTTATTTTTAAATTATAATTTATATTTTATTTTTTTTCGATTTATTTAATTAATTTTGTCTAATAGTATTTTCTTACAAATATGTGAACTTTATTATTAATTTAAATATAATTTTTTTATAAATAAGATATTGATTTATTAAATAGAAAAAAAAATGGAAAGAAAATCTATATAAACATTATATTTATTTTAGCAAATATATTTAAAAGGAATAGCATGTATAAAATTAAAAAACAAATAAATAAAATAAATAAATAAAAGTAATATATATTTGTTCTTTTGCTTCATTTTATGTTTAAATTCCAGGTCTATATAGTTCTGATGGATTATTACCTATAAAAGTAAACTAACATTATTTTTAAAAATAAAAATAATGAAAATAGAAACTATTTAAAAATAAATTTAATAAAGAAAGTTAAAATTTATTTAGTAAATATCCTACAATATTTATTTATAGTGAAACTATAAATAAATATATATTAAAATTAATGCCTTTTCTTGAAAAAAATGATGAATTTGATAATACATTCCATTTAATTTGTCTATTAGGAATTTTAATTAGTTTTTTTATTCTCTTAAACAAGAATTTAAAGTTTTTTTAAATTTTTATTCCTTGGAATTCTATGGATTTTTTATTTGTCTATATATCATATTGGACAAGATTTTACTAATTATTAATGGGATTATTTGTTATTAGAAGCTGGATTTTTAAGTATATTTTTACTCCTGTGTATAAAAATAATTAATATCATGTCGATGAATTATCAAGTATTATTAAAGATCTCTTAAAATGGCTCACTTTTAGATTAAATTATGCTAGCGGAATACTTAAATTAACTCAGTATTATATTTTTTCAATAAAAAAAAGCATATTAATAAAATTTATAAAAAAATTAAAAAAGTTAATGCTCTACTTCGTAAAATTTAACTGCATTAAAATTTTATATTCAAAGTTAGCCACTTCCTAATACTTTTTCTTGGTATTTTTATAATTTACCTGAATATGTTTGGAAGTTTTTTGAAGCTTAAACTTTTATTAATTTAGTATTTTTTTTTTGTATAAAAAATATATATTTATATATTTTAGATTTTAGGTTCTATTTTAATATATTTACCATTAAAAAGTGTTCAATTTTTTGGATTTTTAATGATTTTAAGTTAATAAATAATGATATTTTTATCAGGAAATTATAATTTTTTTAATTTCTTAACTATCCTAGTGTAAAAATAAAAATAAAAATAAAAATATAGGCATATTAAATATAAAATAAAAAATTCAGTTCCTTTTCATGCATTGAAGATGAATATTTAAATATATTAATTAATTATAAAATATAAAAGCTTTTAGGGATAAAAAATGTAGAATAAAATAAAGGAAAAATAAGATTATCTGAAATATTAATAATGATATTTATAGTATTAATAATTCATTATATGTTATTTTTTAAAACTATTTTTTATAATGAAGAAATAATAATTTCAGAAAATATAATTAGATAAATATTTGTTGATGGATTATTACCATTATTGATCTTTTATTATCATTGATAAATAGTTTAAGGAATTTACATAATTATTCATAGATAAATAAATAAAAAATATAAACAATAATTATTTAAAAAGAACTTTTGCAATTGTTTTTTAATTTTAGTATATTTAATATCCTCTTTTTCCTTTTTAAATGGAATGTAAAGTTAAAAATCCTCCTTTTTTTAGGACGTTCCTTTTATTAAATTTCTCAATAAAAATATTTAACCTTTCCATATCTCATCTTCTTATAGTATTTTTAGCATTATTACAGGAGTATAAGGAAGAGAAGAACTCATTTTTGAATTAAGTTCCGACGGAAAGTCCTTTTAAGAAATAAGTTTCTTTTATAAGCCTGGAAATTTTTTCGAGAATGGGAAATTATGTGGACCTTATTAGCCTAGATTAGAATGGTAATTATGGTTCTCTGCTTTAAAACCACATATAAATGATAAATATTTGATTAATTTTATTTATAAGCTTTTGTAAAATAATAAAAGTGTAAATAGTCTCGTCGATAAGAATTTTTTTTTTGAAAATAATAGTTAGCCAAATTTTATTAGAGTTAGTAAATACATATATTCTTTTAGTAATAAAGAAGAAAAAAACAGATAAGGGTTATTTATTTTAATATATTTTAATATTTATCTTAAATTATAATAGAATATTTTGGAAAAGAAATTTGGACAAATTCTTTGTGAATAACTTATAAATAAATGATAAAGAATTTATATAAAAATTAAAGAATTTTAACATTTTTGATACTTTTAAATAAGATTATCCTATCAATCCATTATAAAAAATTCCTTTATTTCAAATTATATTTGTTTTTTTAGCTATTATATTAATAAATAACATATTTAAATAATGAAAAATAATAAAATAGAATTTTTTTAAACTTATTTTTGTTAATAACAAAAATCAATTTTTATTTAATAATAATCGCTTTTAGCTCTAGCCTTATTATAAATCCAACTTAACTTTTTGCTAAAATAAAAGCTACGTTAACCCAAGGATGATATTTTACAAATAAAGCTGTTCCATCCTTTCCGACTCCTAACATTAATTTATTTTTTCCTCCAGGATGATAATTAAGATAATTTGTTACATCATAAATTTTTCCATTAATGACAGTCCAAGCATCTTTGTCTGTATTATGCTATGCAACCTTTTTTTTTAATTAATTTTTGTTCTTATAAATAAAAATACTTCACTTAAAGTATAGCCTATAATTTCATTATTATTCTATTAATTTAATTTAATGTAATCTTATTGACTTCCAAATGTAGCTACTTTTTCCCTTTTTTCAATATTTTATGGTTATTATTGTTATTATTGCCCAAATTTCGGAGAACATTGACCAAATTTCGGAGATTCATCGATTTTCTAACCATTATCATTTTGTACTTATATTTTTGGTAAATTAACTTCTATTGGTTATATGTTTGTAAAATGTTTATATGCTTATGATTATCTATACTTTCAAAGAAAAAATAATTAATTTTTGATATATTTATTTTTACTTTTCTATTTAAATCATATTTAATGTATAATAATCCTATTGAAAACCTTATTTTAGAATCTAAACATCAATCTTATTAGGATTACAATATTAAAATATATGTCTATTTTCATGTTCTTATATCTTCTTTTTTTATTAATTTTTTTATATATTTATATTTTTACATTATGTGAGAATGTTTTTATTTCTTTTTTGTGAGGTAAATAAGCAAATATTTCTGTCATATTAAAATTTATTATATCTTTGACTAAAAATTCTTATTATTCGCCATCCTATTATTTACATAAATATATTTATATCATTTTTTTTTGTTAACTTTTAGTATTATTTTATCAGTTTAATAATGGGCTAAAATTTCTTTTAAAATGTATTCGGCTACATGATTAATATTTGTTATATCATCATTTTTATGCCACTTTAATTCATATTGACTATTTTCTATCATTATTCTTATTTATTAATCAAATATATCCATTTATAAGGAAAATTAATTATTTTTTTTTCTTAAATAAAATTATTATAAATAAAGATTTTAAAATGATATGTTTATTTTAAAAAAATAAATTAAAAATTTTAATATAAATATTTTTAATTTCATATTTAATTATTTATTAATATTAAATATGATATAATATAGATAATAAAAAAGATCAATATTAATTAATAGTTATAATAGATTAATTTATAAAAATATTTTTTAAAAAATATAAGTATTTCTATTGAATTTATTAAGAATGGAGAAAAGAAAATTATCTTGGGATTCTTAAGGATCTGTAGACTGAATTCCTAATCTAATTTTGTGCATTTTAGTTTTGAAAAAATTATTAGCTTTGTTATTTTATGTTGAAAAGTGTATAAAGGAACGAAGTTTTTGTATAAAAAATGATTATATTCTGCCAGAAAATCTTTACTATTTTTTTACTTTAGATAATTTTTAGAATTTTAATGCATTAGATTTAGTAATAAATAATCCTGAATAAGGAGAAATTATTAAAGTATTTATTTATAAAAATATATTTTTTTTTTTAGAATATTTCTTATATTAATAAAAGTTTTATATAAGTTGTGTATTTATAAAATAAAATTCAATTTTTTATATCTCAAAATAAACTGATTAGAACATAAAATATGTTTAGTAAAAAAAAAAGAGTTAATATATGATTGTTTTGTTATTATATTTATTTTTAAAATTATTAAATATTTATTTTTATAAAAATAAAATTGTAAAAATATAAATAATTTTAACAAGATTTAAATAACTTTAAGTGAAAAATATTATTAGCTTATTAATAATTGTTATAACTATTTTTCTTTTATTAATCTTATTTAAGATATATGGTGTATTTAAAATGGATGAAACTGGCTTGAATTTGTTTAAATAATATAAATTATTAATAATAGATATTAATTTAAATAGACTGCCATAGAGAAGATAATAATGTAAGAAATCCTGAAAGCGGTTATTTATTTTAATTTTTATATTCCTAGGAATTAATATACATAAATTAATTAATAAAAATTTTATAGCAAAAGAAAAATTTATTTTAAAATATTAAAAATGCACTAATTATTAAGAATGCTTTATAGTTTTTATGAAAAAATAAAAAACATTTAAAAAATATATTTAAAAATGAAAAGTATAATCAATAGCTTTGGAGAAATTAAAGATTCGGCGGGAATAGTGTGATTATTATTTGAACTATTAAAAAGAGTTATTGATTATGTCTTTTAAAAAAATTTGCAAGAATAAAAAGTTAAACCTATAATGCCTCCTTTTATGTGTATTATTTTTTGTAATTATTTTTACAAAAAAATAAATAAATTTTAATAGGTTTAAATGAATGTTTTTAAAATTGTATAAATAACAGGAATTATTCAAGGTAAACTAATTGCTATTGTTTTTTTTATTTATCTGTAATGTATGACTTAAGTTAATAAACTTTATAGTGATATAATATTTTAAATGAGTACTTTTGAATTCGAATTTTATAAAACTATAGACATAATTTATATTAAAAGTAGAATATAAATACTCCTATAAATTAGAAGTTTTTATAAAAAATAATAAATGAAAAAATTTGTGATAATATATTTAAGATTACTTTCAAAAGCTATTTTTTCTAAAGGCTAAGATAATTGAATTTAAAAAAATTTTAATATATATTTTTTAAAAAATCTATATTTAATAATAAAAAAGATTCAATTATATATTTTTTCTTTCATATATAATTCTAAAAATTAATTGATTATTTTTTTGTTAAATAAATTAATTTATATAAATAATAAGAAAAATAAAATATTTCCAGCCAAAATAATATGAAAAAAATAATAAAAAAATCCTTTATTTTATTTAAAAAAGTATTATGTACAAATCTTATTGTATGATTTTTTTTTTTTAAAAAACAAAAAAAATCAAAACTTATTACTAATTTTAGTTTTCTTTAAGCCTTTTTTAAGGAACTTATTTCCTAAATCATCATCTTTTTTGCTAGAAAACGACCTTTTTTCCCACTCACTCTTTTAAAGTTTAACTGGTCTATTTCCAATATATTTTCCCTACATTTCTTTCAAAGCCTTAAGGAAATCTTAAGGATCAAGGAAACTCACAAATCCATATCCTTATGTTTTTTGACTTCTTTTATCTCTAACAACTCTTGCTTTACAAAAAGAAGGATATTTTTTAAAAGAATTTGCTAATACATCATCTGTTACTTCATTTCCTAGATTTCCACAAAAAATTCTATAGTCAGAATCTGGCCATTAATTCATTGAAGAATCGACCCAGACTTCTCCAGCGGATTTTCTCATGAGTTTTTATTTTTATTTTTCTTCTTCTTTTTCAAGAAGAAGCTATCGCTTATTTTTTTAAGAGTCAGGCTTTTTTTAAGTTTTGGAAGACATTGCAATTCGAGCCACTTTTTTTTAAATTAATTCGTTTTAGACATTTAAAGGAGGAAATTCTTAATCATCTATTTCTATACCTTTATGCGGGATTATTTTTATGTCTTCTTCGAATGATTTATTTAAATTTTTTTCAAGTTCATTTGAGTTTTCGGCCCGGAGCTCACTTATATCAGTTATTTCATAGACAACTTTATTTTAAGTTTGGTTCTTATTAGATTAGTTTTATTATGAATCAATTGTGAATGTAGTTTCTTCTTTTATGCTTTTGAAATTCGATATTTATGAGCGAGGAAGGGATGATTGAATTGCTTATTAAGGAAATTATTAAGTTTTTATCTTATAAAGTTAATCTATTTTGGATAATAATGATAATTTGTCCATATGTTTTTTAACTTTTATTATATTATTAATTTTTGTTTGTGTTTTAGTTTTTTTGTTTTTTGTTTTAGTTTTCTAGAAATAAATATTATATTTTATATTAATATTAATTTTTTTATTTTTTTTATTATTGATTTTATTTTTTTAAAAAAAAAAAAAAATTGTTTTTTTAATTTTTTTTTTTTTTTTTTTTTTTTGAATATTTAAATATTTAATATAAAAGTGTTTCTATATTTGATTAAATTTTCTTTTTTTTATTTTTAAATAAAAATTTATATTTAAATATATATAGTAAAAATTATATAATTCTTATTAATTGTATGAAATCAAATATTATTTATATATTATTTATTAAGTTAAAAATATAAAAAAAAATGAAAAAGCAAAATAACAATAAAAAAAATATTGAAAACAACTATTTCAATAATTAAATAAGAATAGGAGATTGGATATGTTTATTATGTTTTAATTTAAATTTTTCGTTTCGTAAACAATGTAAAATTAAAATAAAATATTTTATATACATTAATTTAACAATTTACCTACTTTTATTAAATAAAATAAAATATGTATTTAAAAACATAAATTCAATTAAAAGCAATTTTTAATTATTTTAGATTATTTTAAATATTTTTTTAAAAATTAAAAAGGTAATAGATGTTTAATTTAAACTAAATAGCAAAACTAGATATAAAATTAAATGATAATTTAATAAAAATTAAAGTATATAAATTAAAACTTAACGAATGTAAATAATATTGAAAAAGATTCTTTTTTTCTAAATTGTATTGACGGAAACATACCATCAATAAAAACTTAATAATAATAAGAATAATATATTTATAATAAATAAAATCACTTAACATCCAAAGCAACCAATAATAATGAAAAAAGATAAGTATTTACAGACATAAATAATAATATGAATAATTATAATAGAATGGATATAAAGCTTTTTGAAAAATACTAAGAGAGAACATATAATAAATAGGATGAAGATGAAACACTTCCGACTTTAAAAAATTAAAAAATGTGTTCTTTAGAAAATAATTTTGATGATTAATCAGAAGATGATAGTACTGATTTTTTTCAAAATGATATTTAATAATAAATAAATAATATTATAATGGACGAGAAAGAATAATAAGAAGAATATTCAAATCAGAATTAAAAAAATAATAATACTTATTAAAAAAATTCAGAGTCTATTTAAGGATTTTATAATGAAAATATTATTAATGCATTCCTTTTTGAAGATGATTCTAGTATTTTTAATAATCATAATATATTTGATATTTAAAATAATAAATAAATGACTTAAAATTCTTCTTTTAGAAATTCTGAAATAGAAAATAAATAATAATTTTGTGAACTTATTTGGGATGAAGATTTTAAAAAAAAATCAAGCAAAATTGAAGAATTTACAGATAAATAATTAGAATTTGGAAATGTTGTATTTTCTAAAGAAAATTTTTAGTAGACATCTAATAAAAAATCTGATTGGATATGCTTTCGATGTAATAATCATAACTTTTCCTTTAGAAAATTATGTAACAAATGTAAATATGAAAAAGATTTTAAAGCTATTAATGTTAATTAAATACATCAATAGAATAATGAGTAATTTTAGATTTGTTGAATTTTTTTTTTGTTTTTTTTTTTTTTTGAAAATAAAATGATAAAAAGACTTTTAATTTTTTTTTCTTTTATTTTTTTTTTTATTATTATTTTTAGGTTGGTTTTAATAAGACATTTTTTTTTAAAAAAAAATAATAATAAAAATAATTTATATATATATATACTTTATATTAATGAGTAAGAATTATTTATTTATTTATTTTTGTTTATTTTTTTTCCTCTTTTTAATAAAATAAGTTATTTTTAATTTTTTTTTATTTTTTTATTAAATAAAATAAAATAATTTAAAACAAATTTTATATTAAGTATATATTTTTTTATTTTTATTTAAATTTAAATTATTTACTTTTTGATAGAATTTTTTTTTATTAAAACTTAATGAACTAAAAAAATGTCATTATACATATTTTCTTGACTTTATTTATTGATAAAGTGTCTTTTATATGAAAATATAATAAAAATATAATAATATATATATGTTTTACATATAAAAATAATAAATATATACATATCTTAAATATATAAATATAAAATATTATTTGTTTATTAGCTATTTTATTTTAAAGTTTTATTTTATAAAAAAAACGTAATAATGACAAATTTTCTTAAAAGTGATTTTAATGAATATATAAACAATAGAAATTAAGCCAAAGTTTCTTTTTTATCACACGAAATATAATAATATAAAGATTTGAATAGTTAATTTTAAATAGTATTAGGGATAAAAAAAAAGTCATTATAATTAGTAAACTAAAAATCTATAAATAATATTTAAACTGTAAAAAATGGTTAATCTTAAATAAAAAAATATAATTAATATTTATTTTTAAAAAAATTGTCAAAAAGATAATAATTTATAATAAAAATCTAATGCAAAAATTAATCTTTTAAATTAGTTATTTTAATAAAACAAAGATATTTTAAAAAATTATATATAAATAAGTGCTGAAAGAAATGATGCTTAAAGCAAAGTATATATATATATATATTTATTTTTTTAGTTTAAAAAAAAAGGCATTAATCAATTAATAAGTAGCCGAAGAATTAAATAATTTTAAATAAGATATTTTATAAGAACATGAAGAAACATTATAAGAATTAAGAAGAGTTGTATAAGATAAAGAATATACTGTCTAGGAATTCGAAAGACAAAAGACAAAAAATGAGACTAATGGAATTTAAACTAGATATAGAGAAGTTTTTTTATTATAAAAATAGTTTTTATAAATTAAAATAAATAAGGTTGTCGCAGCTAATGAATAAAATTCTAAATTATAGAATAGTTTGGATTATTACGAATAATTATTAAAATTAATTATTAAACATAATTAAATTCTAAAAGAAACAAATGAAAATGAATAGAAAATTAATTAGGTAAATATTATAATTTTTTTTATTTGAAAAATTTTTTTTTTTTTTAAGAACTATATGTTTGAACTAATAAAACATAAATTTTATTCTTAAAATAATTCTTCTATTAATTCTTTTGAATGTAATTTTTTAAATTAATTTAATAAAATATTTGATTTTTTTATTAATATTTCTAGCATTATAAAACTAAAATAATTATTATAATAAAATATATCCATAGTATTTAAATAGAAACTAAATTAAATAATTATATTAATATCAAAGAGTAATTAAAAAATTTATATTAAAATAACTATATAAATAAAAAATTAGAAAAAAACACTGAATTAGACTTTAAGTACTTCTTCAAATGTTAATGTAATAAAAATAACAAAAAAAAAAAATAACAAAAAAAAAAAAAAAAAGAAAGCATTGTTAGAAAGGGAATACAGAAAATAAAAAAAATTATACTAAAGAGAATTATTAAATAATTAAATATTATAAAATCAGCTAGAAACAGCAGAATAATAAAACTTAGATATATTGCAAACAAATGACTAAATATTAAATTCAATAAAAATACATTAAAGTTAAATTGATAAATTACTATAAAACATTAATTATTATTAGTTATATCACAAATTATATAAATAAAATTAGCCATTACAATTTACGAAATAAAGTTTGTGTAAAATTGAAATAAACGAAAAAGTTTAAATAAAGTAAAATATGAACAAAATGGAGAATATATTAAATAATTCTGCTGATAATATAATATATAATTATATATAAAATTAATACTAAAATGATGTTTCTTTTAGCTCGATTTCTGAGAATAAAAACTTCTTGAAAAATATGGCAGAGGATTTATAAAAAGAACTTTCGAAAAATCATCTGAATTCGATTTCTAGAAAAATGATTAAAATAATAGAATAGGAAGGAGATTCTGGTTATAAAACTTAAACAAGTAAATAAAATAGATTAAGATCTTACTCTAATATTTAAGAATATCAAAGGAGTAAATAAAATGATGATTTTTATAGCTATTTCAAATAAAATTGTAGTCACTAAGTTAGACTTATGTATAATAGAGATGAAATTGATAGTTATACTACCAAAAATTTTATTTAAAAAGAATAAAAACAAATAAAAATATAAGCAGAAGTTAAATAAAATTAAATGGAAGATAGCTAATTTTTGGATAATATTGTTGATATTAGTTATGAACTAAGATATTAAAAAGCTAAAAAATTAAATAAAAAATAGAAAAGTCTAAATCTATAATAAGAATAATTTAGTATTACTAAAAATGTAATATGATTTTTTTATTGATTACTTATTTATAAAATGATGTTTTTTTATTTATTTTTTTATTTTTTGTATTTTTTGTATTTTTATACTGAAACAGTTTTTTATTTTTTAAAATAAAGAGTTTTAGTAAATATTTATTCTGTCAAAGTTAAAATTATTAAGTGTTTATATAATATTTGTGAAGAATTAGTAACATTTTCATTTAGAAAATAATGATTAACCCTTTTTAGAATTTTTAGATTTTCTAGAAGTTGCCCTCAAAATTTCTTAACTTTAAACAATTTCTTATTTCTGTATTTTTTCAATGTTTATCTAATTTACATAATTATATTGTCTGATTATTTTATTGAAATTATGTTCAGGAAAATAAATATGAAAATATTTTAATTAATCAAAGTCTTCGACATCATAAATTTATTCTTTAGTTTTTCTCATTTTTATAACTTTAATAAAATCCGGTTTAATTTAAAATTGTTCTTTATTTAAAGTAGATTAGCTTTATAAAAGTTTAGTAATTTTTTTTTTTTAGAAAATTGAGTTAATATTTTATTAATTTACTATAGACTTAAAATTAAAGAATTACTTATTTATTTATTTTTATTTTGAGAATTAAAGTTCATTATTATCATTATTGTTATTTGTACTTTTATTTTAAAAAGCATTATTATTTTATTATTGAGTAATATAAGCATTGAAAATATTCTATAAATCTTAAACTTTTTTATTTTTCTTGCTTTTTATTATTTCTTTGAATTTTTTAAATTTATTTTAGATGTTTTTAAATTGGAATTTTTTAATTTTACAGAAATCTTAATCTTCATAATTATTTTCTTGAATTTAATCAAAATCTATTAATTCTTTAAATAAAGTTTTTGTATAGTATTTTATGTTTTTATTATTTTATTTTTTATTGATTTCTTAATTGCTTTTCTAATTTTTTTAAAAACCCTTCTTTATATCTTGTTATGGCTCTTTTATTATCATTTTCAAAGAATTTCTTTTAACACTTTAAATATCCTCTTTATTTTTAGGGCTTTGTGTATCAGAATCACTTGTATTATTCTATTCCTTACTTTCTAAAAACTCTTCAGAAACTAAAGAATTAGAAGAAGAAAAAGAAGAAGTAAAAGAAGTGTCGGATTTTTCTATACATTTTTAATGAATAATATCTTAGTTATTTAAATTAAATTCTTTAAATTTTTCTTCCAAATAATTTTAAAATTATAGAGCATTTATTTTTATCCTTTTTCTACTTCTTTTAATAATTCCTCTATTATTTTTTAAACTAAATAAATATTTATCAATAATAAGCTATTTTTGCTGTCCGTAAAATAGATAAGGGCATTTACTTACTGTATGATTAAACATTCCACAAGAAAAACATTTAATTGAAATTTTATCAAATCTATTACAGTATCTGACTTAATCCTTAATAAATGAATATATTTCTCTTTAATCTTCGAATTTGGAAAGAACTTCTTAAAAGTCAGTTAATGTTAGACATATAATACTTGAAATTCCCTTACTTTTTATATTTATTTATATATCATAAGATTCTTGGAAGAAATTTTCAAATCCAAAGCTATCTCCATCTTATAATTTCTTTTTGTTTATTTGTTTGTTTTTTTGTTTTTTAGTAAAAAATTAATTTTTATTTTTTACTGTAATTTCTCTTGGAATTAAATTATCTTTTTACTAATACATTTCTAAATTTCCTTAGTTAATATAATATATACAAGGTTCTTTTTTCTTTCTTTCCTCAATAATAATTTCGTCTGGTGAATAAACAATCTCCTTCATTTTGCAAGTTAAAGCTTTTAAAAACTCAGACGAAAAATAATTTTTGAAGATTTTTATTTTATTAATAATTTTCAAATAAACATCTCTTTTTATTTCTTGCTACAGATAAACAGATAACTACTATAAAGATTAATCAGAAATATTATTATCTATAGTTGTATCGCTATATAAATATTCAATATATTTTCTTGCACGATCTTAAAGACTTATGTCTACATTAAAGTATTTAAAATATTTATTCATCTATGCCAATTATTGTAAAAACTAATCATTTTTTAATTTAAAGTCATATAGTATATTCCCTATAGAGTTTATTGTATATCCAACTTATCCTGATGAGATTATTGCGAAAATTATCAAAATAAATCTTTCCAAACTTGATTAGGCAGCAATATCCCCATAACCAGTAGTTGACATTGTAATAACAGAGAAATAGAAGCATTGCAAATATAAGTCCAGTTTTGTTTATTCTTATAGTTTATAATATATTAGCCAACCTTAATTATACTCCATTTAATATTTACCTATAGTATACCATACACAAGAAAATATATGACATATATAAAGTACTTAAGCAAAAAGAATAATAAGAGAAATTATACCTTATTATTATATATGTAAAAAAAGTTGATCTTTTTGTTTTATTAAATACCTGAAATGTGAACTCTTAATAGAAAATATTCTTTCACAATATCAATAATTTTATAAGAATATAAAAATCTTAAGAAAAATAATAAATAAGAACCCTAAAATCCAAAAAAAGTATAGTTTAAAGATAAAACACTAATAATATCAAAAACGAACCTTCCTTTTAAATATTTTTTGAAAAAATTTGAATGCTTTTCAATCAAACTTCCTTTTTCGTAATATTAAGTATTCGCTCTAATAAATATATCTATTCCAAAGACAATAGGACATAACCATTAAATAAAAATATTAATTAAAAAAGTTTTTTAAATTTTAAAACAATACATTAAAGGCAAAAAAACAAAATTTATATTAGCAAATATAAATATTATTAATTCCCAAAAAATATATTAAGATTATAAAGAATTAAATATTGGTAAATACTTTAAAAACCTATTCAATTGTTTATATATTATTTAATTGGAAATATGCTATTTAATGTATAATAAGAATTTTAATTTTTATTAAAATTTCTTTTTTAAAAATCTATATTGTTTATATGTTATTATATTTTTAAATTTTTTGAATTCTTTTTGTTTAACTAAATCAAACCCTTCACTGTATTCATTATTATATTTTTTGTTGATTTTATATGAATAATTACTTGTCGGATCATTTATTAATTTTAGTTATAGTTTTGTTAATAATTCTGGTCTGAAAAATATGATTGTTCTTTTGGTTAATAATTTTACTTTAGCTATTTAGTAAAATATTTCCATCCATTTTTTTTTCCATACCGTCATCTTAATACCGAAATCAGGTGCTAATATGTTTTGCCGTTTTCTAAATGGCTTAGACTCTTCAATCTTTATACTTTATATAATATTTTCATTAATTTTTTATATAGAGTTTTATGGAGTTATTTTTTTATTTTGGCCTTATTTTTTTTTATTTTATTTTTAATTATTTTTTACTTAATGGATTTAATTAAATTATTTATTCTTTTATTGAATTTCTTGTATTTGAATTTTCTTATTAAAATTCTACCTTTAATGTATTATATTTTATTTAGTTTTTTAAGTATTATATTATTTAAAAATATTAACTTTTTTCTTTGATTGAATTGCTATTTTTTAAAAAATATATTTTAATTAATTTTTTTTTTTTATAAAAACATGTTCTTTTAAAGTCATATTATTATAAAATATTTTATTCTTAATTTGAAAAAAAAGGAATGCTTTTTGATGAAAATATTTCTTCTTCTCCTTTAATTGGAATCGGATAATTTAACAAGGCTTAATTTTAAAATAATTAATTATCATCTTAATACAAAATTTAAAACTTTAAATAAAGTTATATTAATTTTATATTATAATTTTCTTTATTTTTATATTACATTTTCATCTTATAATCTTGGAGTAAAAATATTTTAATTCATAAAAAAAAAAAATTATTTAAAATATAATAAAAAGTTATTTATTATATTTCATAATATAATTAGAAAGAAAAAGTAAATACTGTAAAATATTTTTAATTATATAGAAAAAATATTATTCAGTTATATATATATATATTTATATATATATATATATATATATTATATATATTTATATATATATTATTATAATTATTTTTTAAAATTTTTAATTAGAAATAAATTAATTAATTAATTATTTATTTTTTTTATCTTTAATATAATATATATTTATTTTATATCTTATTATTTTATTTATTATTTATATTAATTTATTTAATTAATTTTTTTTTTTAATAAAATTTCTTATTTTTATAATAATTATTTTGATAAAAAATAAATTATATAAAATATCATAAATTTAATTTTTTTTTTAATTTATTTCTAAATATTTATTATATTATAATCATTTAAAAAAATAATTTTGTAAAATTATTATTATTTTTTATTTAAAAAATTTTATATTAAAAATACAACTAATTTTAATATATAAAAAAATTATTTAAAAAATTAAATATTAATTATAAATGAATACTGAAAAGCATCCAGAAATGACTGAAGAAGAATAAGAGTTAATAACAGTCGAAGAACTTTCATAAAAATTAGTAAAATATAAAAGAAAACAAAAATAAAATAAAAATTTACAGGAAGCACTTTATAAAGATATGGAATAAATTCGTCGAGAAAACTTATTATTTGATTCATATATATTCCGTAATAGAAAAGAAATAGTGAGAGATGAAGAAGTATAAGAAGAAAAAAAGGAAAAGCAAGAAAAAAGATAAAAATATCGATAAAAAAAGTATGTTATTAACGAATGAAGAAAAATATGATATTGCATAATAAGAATAAGATGCCTTGAAAAAATAAATAGATGAAGGACGTATAAAATCAGATTAAATTTTAGAAACATTAAGAGTATTTATTATATTGAAAAATAAATAAAAAAAAAAAGGCTATTTTAGAAGAAACTGATATGGCAATAACAGAAATAAGAAAAGACGCATTTGATTTTCAAAGAGAAATATTAATAGGTATACATATAATTTTATAAAAGATAATAAATTAAATAAAATAAGGTGGAGAAAATAGTAGGACAGGTAAAATTGAAGCCGAAAAAATAATTAAATATTTTGAAGAAAAATTGAGATAAAAAGATGCTTTAATTGCAAAATATACAAGCAAAAGAACAAATTTAGAAAGATAAATATTAAAAACTAATAATTAAATATAAAAAAAAGAAGAAATGGGTGATGATTTGAAGTTTATTGATTTTTATCAACTACAGATTGAAAACAAAAAATATGTGAAAGAAATTGATGAAAAAAATAAAAAATTATTATCATTAAAAATTTCAGCTAATAGAATTTCTTAAACTTTAAAAGATGAAGAATAATCTCTAAAGAGAGAACTTGATTAAGGTAAATCACATACAAGTTGAATGGCTGAAAATAAAAAAAAAATTGATAAAATTGAAAAGCAAATTAAATCTGCTAAAACTGAAGCTTAATCTTTAGAAAGAAAAAGAAAGATTTTCGAAAAATAAAATGAAACTTTTGAATCCAATAATTAATAAGACGCCCCATAGGTTTATCTATTTATTTATATTTGATTTCCTATATTATTTTAATTTTTATATTAGACTATGAATTATGTAAAATTAAAAAAAGAAGAAGAAAAATTATTGTATGCTATTAAAAATTTGGAAAGAAAAATTGAAATTGCAGAATTAGCATATAAAAAAGCAAAATTAGTATTATAAAAATAATAAAATAATTGAAAATATAAAATATATATTTTTCATAAATTATTAGTAAAAAATATATTTATAACTTAATAATATTTTATTAAATAATTATTATTAAAATTATTAAATATATATAATATAAATTTAGATTTATTATATATTATAAATCATTATAATTTAATATCCTTTTACATGTATTAAAAGACTATATAAAATCTTTATTTATGTTTTCATAAATAAAAAAATTAATAAATAAATAAATTATAAACATTCTATATTTAAATATAAAAAAGAGATTGTTTATAAAATAAAATAAATTCGAAAAAATAAAATGATGAATTTTATTTTGTTTTTAAAGATAAAAAAAAAATATTAATTATTTAAAAAATAATAATAATGTCACATAACTTTTGACATAAATTATTTTTATTTTATTTGAATTCTGATTTGGTTTTTTCCTTATTAATTTTTTTAAAATGGTTTTATTTTCATTTATAAATCTTAATGTTTATCTTAATTTAATCGTAATAAATTAAAATATATTTTTATAAAAAGAAATAAAATTATTTTTCTAAGAATACTAATATTTTTTTTAAATGTTTATTTCCATTTTTTATTTTTTATTTTTTTTTGAAATCATAAACTAAATTTATAGACAAACAAATATATTAAAAATAAATATCAAATATAATAAATAAATTTTTCAAAAATAAAATAAAAATGAGCCAAGAATAACAAATTAATCAAAGGATAATATAATAAAAGTCTAATATAAATGAATTTTAAAAACTATAAGAAGAAACTAAAAAAAAATCTTATGAAAACTTTGTCCATGAATATTAATCACCATCTATATTTTGTTTAAATTAATAAGATTTTCCGATTGTTTAATTATTTATATAATTTTCAATGTTAATGCTTATAATCATACAATATTTTTTAGATTAAAGTAAAATATATAATAATAAAAAGTAAAATAAAATAAAAATAGTAAATTACCCTATAATTGGCATAATAGTATTTTTTTATTTTTTAAATTAAATTGACAGTGCATATGGATATACACCTTTATATTTATAGGAGAAAAATCTAACTGAAGATTTATAAAAATTTATAAAAAAATGGAAAGAATAATAGATAAATATAAATTTTTAAGTAGATTCATACCATTATACTTATGTAAAAATACATGGCAAGAAAAAAAGAGTAAAATAAAGTAATTTTTCTGAAAATTTTGATTTCTAATATACACGATGTGAAGATATTACAAGCGAAGAACTTCCAACCTAAAGTAAATATTAAATTTATTTAATAGATTTGAGTCTAATTTTTTAATTTGGAAATGATGAGGCCAAATAAAAATATGAAACATAAAAATAAGAAGCAATAAATAAAATCAAAAATACTGATAAATACATAAAGCATAAAGAAGTTATCTCTTTTAAAGACAATAATGTTTAATAGAAAGTCATTTATGCGACTAGTAAAATACCCTTTTTCATTAATAAATATTCATATTGGACTTTTTCAATATTATTGCTCAATATCCCTTATAGAATTTTTATTAACTTATAAACTTCTATTATTAAATTTAAAGTTGTTAAAAAAATATATGTTTGATTTTTTATAAAAAACTATTTTAATTTCATATTTTAAGTAAAATTAATAAACTTTTTATTAAAAATATTAATTATCTTATTTTTAATATCCTAACCCTTCATTATACGAATCTCTTTTTTCTTTTTAAAAAAGTAAAAAGTAAAAATTTAAACCTTTTATCAGTTTTCAATATATTTTTATGCCTTACTTCAATATTTTAAGTTTTTTGGGAAGTTACGTTTAGTTAAATATTTTATTTTATTAAATGTTAGTCTTTATTTTTCTTGGTGTATTAATTTTACATTTGTATAAAAATAAAGTAAATTTGGTAAAATAACATATATTATTTTTAAATATAAAAAAAGTTATCAATGAATATATAAAAGATAAGTCAAATTTTTTGACATAAACCATGAATGGATTTTTTTTTAGTTCGAATCATAATAAAAGATAAAATTAATGATACAAAACAACTTAAACCGATTTAAGCTATATTCTCTAACCATCTTATATTTTAGAAGAGTTTTATGATTTTGTTCTATTTCTATTATTTATGATTTTTATTATTATTCTTTTTGATTTTCTTTTAAAATTTACAAAGAAGCTTGTTAATTACTATTTTTATATATTCTAAAATCTACTTATTTTTTTATATAAAAAGTAAAAATAATTTATATGAATGATTCATATGCATTATTTTATTATTATAAGCATTTTATATTTACTCGACAAGATATTAAAATAAACATAAAATATTTTTTAGTTTTAAAAATAAATTTATATAAAACTAAAGAATATTATTTATAAATTAATATAATTAACTATTTATTATTATTATTTTTTAATTTACTTTAAAAATGTTAACTGAATATATTTTATTAGAATTTTAATGTCAATTCAATATAACTATTTTTTATTTTAAAATTATTAATTAACAAAAAATATTTATTGATAATATTGTAGATTCTAATAGTATATTTATTAATAAATTATCATTATCCTTAAAAAAAAAACTATTTTGTAATAAGGTTTTTCATTTATTCATATAAATTAGACTATCACAAGTCTTATATCGCAAAAAAATAAATATAATATTTAAATTATTTTATTTTCACTATATCGAAAATCTACTAGACTTATGATATTATAAGGATTAAATACTATGATTTTTTTTATTTTCTGTTTCAAAAAATATGCGGAAAATATATTCATAGTAAAACACATGCCAAATAAAGGATTGAAATCATTAAATTTTTAATTTTTTATGATAAATTAAAAATATTTATATTTAAAAGGTAGAAAATTAATAATATTATATATTCGAAGTAAATTATAATAGAATAATTAAATAAATAAATATTCCATAAAATTTAATTGTAAAATATTTATATATATAAATCAAAATATAAATAATCAATAATAAAAAATGGTAATTAAAAATTATTTTTTGAATTAATTCATAATTATAATATTAAAACTATATTAAAAATAAATTAATAATGTGTATTATTTATATAAATTGTAAACAAATTATTAAAATTGAATTTTAAATTCTATATTTTAATGTTTTTTTTTAAATTATTATTTATATATTATTAAATCATATATTTTATAATATAAAGAAAATAGATATTATCATTATTTATTATATAACTATTTGTAGATCTATTAATCATAGTACATTTTCTTGAAATTAAACATATTTTAAACTATTTTTTATGATAGGTTATTTTTCATAACATGGACAAAACCAAAAGAATTTATTATATCCCATTATTTCGCTTATATTTGAACTAATACTTTTTTTGAAAGGATTCTAATACATTAATTAAAATAATTAAAAAATAAATATATAAAGGATAATAAAATTAGAATTTTATAAAATAAGAAACATACTAATTTTTTTATATAAATTATATTGAAATAAAAATTTGATTAAATTTATTAAAATTATTTTATATTAATCCTTAAATTTAAAAATAAAATCGAATAATTCGGATAATTATTTTATATAAATATCTTTAAATTATAAAAATTGCATATTAATTTACCCTTTAATGAATTTCAGGTACATGAGATTCTACAGTTGTAATATTCTATAATAACCTACTAATTTAAGTCATAAATAAATATCCAATTGATAAAGTTAATCCAAAAGTCATAAACCAGCATGAAATAATTAATATTTTTTTCTTATTTTCTGTATTCTTATAAAACATTTGATCATTAAATAAATAATCTATTGAAATAGATACAAAGCAAGTTCCTACACTTTAAACTGCATGAAACAAAAATAAAAAAAAAAACTTATGATTATTAATTCCTACACAATTAGCAATCCAAGGACAATGGTGATCCATTCTCGATACACATCTTTAATAAAATATAAATATATATATATATATATATATATATATATATATATATATATATATATATAATATTATATATATATAAATGTTTACAATTAGCAATCTTTACAATGATGTGCCCTCATAGGTTTTATTTAATTACATTTGAAACAATAACCATCTTATTACATACTCTTAATAGGATCGCTTTATATTATTTATATTTTTATATTTATAATTATTTTTATAAATATTATATATTATTTTACTAGTATTATAATTCTTAATCACTTAAAGATTGATCGTTTTATCCAATTTAGTTTTGTAAATTTGAATTACTATTTTTAAGTTTCTTTCTTATTATTAATTTTATTTATTATTCTTTTTGTGCTTTCATTTTTACATCTTCAATATTATTGTAATATTTGTTCTATTATTAAATTTTAAATTTATTATTTTTAAATATATTTTAATACAATACCGCTTTAAACATATCCTGGATCATTGAAAATTGATTAATAATAATTAATTGACATAAAAAATGCATTTAAATTAAAATAAATAGTTATTAATATTGCTAATATTTTATAATCCTGAGTTAAAATTAATTTATATTAAGTTTAATATTTTTTTACGTACTGATTTATATATAGATTCTATAAAATAAAATTGCATAAAATAATAATTTGAACATATTATTAGAATAACAAAAAATACTGATAAGCTATTAAATAGATTAAATTTTTTTCGCATGTTTTCCCTTTACTATATTTCTTTTATTTTATTTTTTTAAAAAAATTATTTTTAAATTATATTATTTAAATTAGCATATTATTTTTGAGTTTCTTTTTATTTTCACATTATTTATTTTTATATTTTTCTATATTTGTTTCTCAAAAACACGTCTTTTTTTAGATTAATTCTATTAAAAAAGTTACAGAATAAATAAAAATAAACAATATTAAAAAGAAATATTTATTTATATCAATACTATTATTAAAAAATATTGATATAATTATAAGTATACAAATAAAAATATCTGCATTTAAAAATAATAAGATAATATAAATATAAAAAAAAATTATTTTTAATATTATATTAAATATGCAAGCAATGATATTATGTAATAAAATATTATAAATTTTAATAAATATATATATGTATGTATTTTAGTGATTTAATTTGAAAAAAATTAAAAAAAATTATTTTAATAAAAAATATTTATTTTCTTAAAAAAATTTATTTAAAATTTCTAAACATGAAATATAAATATTATTTAAAATAATTTAGCTATTTATTTTGAATTTTAATTTTTAAGACATTTTTTTTAACTTTGTTAAAAGATAATTATTGCTATTTAAAAGATATTCATATTATTATCAATTTCTTTTTTTTTCATAAAATTAATTTATAATTTTAATTTTTTATACAAAAACAATTTAATATCACACTAATTATTAAAAAAAGTGTCATTAAATAAATTTAATAATAGATTTTTTTTTTTAATTTTATAAAATTGTGATTTTAAATTGAGTTAATAAGATATTTACTTATTAATATAAACTAAATTGATAATAATTATTAATTAATTTAATATATTTTATAATTTATATCATTATAGAATAAATTCATTTTTCTTATGCAGTGAAATAAAAATAAAAAATTTAAAATGCATTTTTGTCTTAATTAAAATATATTGTAGTTAAAATTAAAATAATAATAAATATTATAAAATAATTTTAAAAATTAAAATAAATATTTATTAGAAAATTATAATTTAATTAATTACTAATTGTTAAAATCATCTTTTTAGATTAATAACAAATTTTGATGATAAATGATGATATTAATCTATAAATTTATCTGTGATAGAATTTTGACTATCTATCATTGTAAATTTAGACGTTCTGAACAAAATAATATTAATTAAATATTATTTTATTAAAAATTAAATTTAAAAATTTTATTTCTTCAATATTGAATTATTTTAGATGAACAATTAAATAAAATATTATAGAAAAAATCATATTTTATTAAATATAAAATTAAAAATATACTTAAATTAAGAAATTAATCGGCAAGATATTTTAAAAAATTGAAAAAATTATAAACAATTTTTAAAAAACCTTATTTATTATTTTACCCCCATATTAAATATTTTAAATTATAATTTAAAATAAAGTAATAAAAATAAAAATGTTTTTAGTTTATATATATATATATATATATATATATATATTATATATATATATATATATATATATATATATTTATAGATTTATTTTAATTATTATAATATTTATATTGTTATATTCTTGCTTATTAAATTATTATTTTATTTGAAAAATCAAAAAATTATAATATTAAAATATTTTTTTTAAGATTAGTCATCCTAAATGTTAAACTTTTTTTTTTAGATAGTAAAAAAAATAGGTCAAAAAATTGCAGAATATTGCAATCCGTTTTTTGTAATACTAATAAAAATAAATTAGAAACTACTTAGTAGAAAGAGGTTGGTATTTCCATTTGCCCCATTCATTATTTTCAATTATTTAATTATTTAATTATCTCTTGCAAGGAAAATGTTTGAAAACAAAACATAAATACTTTTATTTCATGAATAGATAATCTTATAATATAGTTTCTATGATATAAAAATTAGAAATAGCATAATTATCATATTTAAAATAAATTTATTAAGTACAATATTTAGAAAATGTTTTTGAACAAAAAATATATCAATTAAATCCCCATCAATACTTTTTAATTTGTCGGATTTTTGATTTTGTTTGCTTTTAACTTTTATTTTTTAAATATTCTTTTTAAAATTTATTTATTTAATATACATAAAAATAATATTTATTAAAATTAGACATATATTAAAATTAATGTTTAAAAATTTAAAAATTTTTAATTTTTATATTGGTTTGTTTTAAACAAATTTAAGCATATATTAATATAAATTTTATAAAATTTAATTTGAAATATTTATTTCAGTCTATGCAAATTAAACTGTTTTGAGGGTCCTTTTCATCAATTTACCTTGCCACAGTCAGCCCAAACAGAAATCGATTTAAGAGATAAAAACAAAATATTTATTCTAAAATAAGTACGAAAAATGGATGGATAATTTTTTTTTTCAATCCATTAATTCGTTCGATATCTCTTCGATTAGTAGGATATATCATAGAATTTTATTAACTCCTATATATACGAGAAAAAGCATTTATTATGTAAAAAAATACAAATTTTATATAAAAAACAAAATAAATAATAAAAATATTTTGATTATAATTTTATAATTCAAACACAAATATATTTATTTGCAAGAATAAGTAAAAATATAAATTAATTAAATTCGTAATTTATAAATGAGAGAAAAAAAATTAAAACTATTTCACACTTACATTTACATTAATAAAATATATTAGGTAATTTACAATAAATAATAACAATATTGAATTAATAGAAAATATTATAAATATATTTACATTTAAATATTTTTATATGAAATACATCTTATTTTTTATTTACAAGCATTTATTAAAAATCTGTATTTCTTATTTTAGGTAAATATTAAAATTTCTAAATAATAAGTTAAAAAAGTAAATGCATAAAAAATAATAAATAATTTTTAATTTAATTTGCCTGGAAATAAAATAAATGAAAAAAGAAATGATGTAAAAAAATAAAAAGTAATTTAATTTTTTATTCAAACTAATTATAATATTAAATAATCACTATTTTTCTTTTTATTCAATATTTTAAATTACATTTTAGTCATCTTTATCTTCCTAATTACTTTCACATTTATTCTATTATTAAATATTTTCAATAATTTCATCGTTTTATAAATTATCAATTTAAGAGAATTTACTTTACCCATGAATTTTAATTTTTTTCACAATTTTAATATCTGGAGATTCAATACTTTCCTCTTCTTCATTTACTTATTTTAATTTCAACTCAACTTTTTTATTTTTATAAATAATGTGTATGTAATAATTTTAAAATTACTTTATTTATTAATATTAATATCATTAATATTTTTTATTTTATTTTCTTCTGTATTTTATTCTGTATCAGTATTATTTCTACCTAGCAAATCAAAATTATTTGCAATAGAACAATTGCTATATACTTCCTAATTGTTATTTTTCTATATTTAATTTTGTAGTTAATGCACAAAAGAAGTTATTTATTCTTGGCTTATTTATGAAAATGAATTAATACTTAAATTATTATTTTATTTTTCATTAAATTTATCATCTAAAGTGCTTATTTTTTATTTATTTTATTTTTCATCAAAGCTACTAAATCTAATAATTTCTTATTTTTCTTCAATTAAAATTTCATTACAAGTTTTTCGCTTTTCCTTTTCATTTTTGAAATATGAATGTTTTAAAGCATCTTCAGCAGAAATTCTGTTAGAAGGATTTTTTTCAAGCATTTTTTGAAGCAAATCTAAAGTATCAAAAGGTAAATCTTAAAAAGATTTATCTAAAAAATTAATATTACATTCTTTATTTAATTTCAAAACCTCATTAAATTTTTTACCAATAAATAAAGATTTATAGAACAATCTTTTTTTTTTTTTTTTAAAGCAAAAATAAATAAATATTAAAATAAAAAAAAAAAATTACAAAGTATAAAATATTATACCAGCACTAAATACATCACACAATCCCGAATATCCATTTTCTGATTTTTCTTAATAATTTGCTATTTCAGGAGCAACATATCCTGGAGTTCCACATTTATTAAATAAATAAGGAAGTTCATCTTCAATTTCTGCTAAACCAAAATCTACAATTACTAAAGAGTCAAGTTTATCTTTTTCTTTGAACATTATATTTTCTGGTTTTAAATCTCTATGCATTATTTTTCGTTCACTTATGTGTTTTAATCCTTCAAAAATTTATTTCATTATTAATTGTATATCTTAATGAGTAAATTTGTTTTTTTCCTTTGATTTTTTGATTACAGAAAACAAAGATTCTCCTTCTAATATTCCTAAAACTAAATAATATGTATTATTTCCTTCATAGGCTGATATGAATTCAATAATATTTTAATGTGATCCTAAGTTCTATAAGATTTTAATTTCTTTGTACAAAGAATTCTCCAAATAATTAAAAAAAAAATAAAAAAAATTAAAAAATATTTTTTTTACTAATCCATTTTCTGAATTGATTAATTTTTCTTTACTAAAACATTTTACTGCTATTTTTTTATTTGTTATACGATGCTTTGCAGAAAAAACCTTTAATAATTATTTTTTTTGAAAATAAAAATAATTACTGATATATATTTTTACCCTTGCATAATTTCCCTTACCCACCTAAGCCAAAAGTTAATATTCATCTTAAAAATCATTTTAAAATACATGCTTGGCTAAATGCTCTTTTAATTAAACTATTATTAAGTGGTTAGCTTAAAATTCAAATTCCTATGTTTTTATATTTGTGCTATCGAATGGATCTATAGTTCTTTTTAGTATTTTTAATCCTGTATATTATAAATCAGATGATTATTTTTTTATCAACCATTTGACACAATCCTATAATTCTATTGTTATTGCTTTATTGGGTTATTTTTTATATGCTTCCTTTGTTAATATTTATTTTAGAAAAAAAAAAATATATATATTTTTTACATTTGATATTATTAAACGATTTCTATCTAAAAATACGTGTATTATCTTTGTTTATAAAAATTATTTTTTTTTTAATTAGATATGCATTTAACATGTTGAATAGTCAAAGCCTGTTTATTAAGAATAAGAGTTTTAATGTTTTGAAAAACTATGTGTTTTTGGTAATTATTAAAATTGCATTTTAAATCGGTTAATTATCTTTTTATTATTAATATAATATTTTTATAAAAAAAAATTAATATTTTGATATATTATAAAATAGTATAGATAAAATATTAATAAACATTATATATAAATTAAATTAATAAATTTATATAATATATATAAAAAATATAATTAATATTTTTAATATTTTTTTAAATATAAAATTATAGAAAATATTAAAAAAATATTAAATAAATATAAAATTAAAAAAATTGCTTATATATATTTCTTATAAAAAATATAAAAATATTTATACATAAATATATTAAAACATAATATTCATATAATATATAAATATTAAAAATAAAAAATAGATATTTTAATAAAAAATATATAAAAAATTATAATTATATAAATATATATTTATAATAATTATTATAATATAAAATTTTATAATTTAATAATATGAAAAAATAAAAAAATAATAATATAATAATTGAATAATATAAAAATATAATAATATAATATAATAATATAATAATAATAATATAATAATATAATAAATAATATAATATAATCATAATATTATAATATAATAATATTATTTTTATTTATATGCTAATTTGTTAATAATAAATAATCATATATATTTATTTATATGTATAAATAAAACCCTTTTATGGAATCAAAATTAATATTATTTAAATAAGTGTTTAAGATAAAAATATTTAAAATTTAATGTATTATTTTTTTTTTATTTTACAAGCTTTCAATTATAATAATTTAAAAATAAATAAAAATGATTTAAAATTATTATTATTTTTAATGAATATTTTACTTTTTTAAACACTATATTATATGATGTTATAATAATTATTTGTGTATAATTATTTATTATCTACAAAATATGATTTTTTTATTTAAAGATTAAAATTTTTATTTAATTAAAATAATAAATTAAAAATAATATTTTAAATATTTATTTTATAGTTGTTTTTTTATTTAATTAATAATATATTAATTCAATATTTTTATATTTTATAAATATTAAATATAATATTAGATATGTGTATATTATATTTTTATATTTTTTATACATTTATTATTTATCTTACTTTTCGTATTTTTTATTTTTTAAACATTATGATTATGAATATTTTTTTTAATTTTTGCTTATTAATATTTATAATAAAATAAAAATTAAAGCAACCTACGTTTTATATTTTTATTTTTATTTTCTTAAAACGGCTAAAATGAAAAACAGCATTTTGAAAAGGTAAAAACCGATTTTTTATTAAAAAGGAAAAAAAAATATAAACAAAAACATAAAAGAGAAAATAAAACAAAAACTAAAAAAAATTCATAATTAAAAATTTTTATTAAAAAGTAATTATATATAATTTAAAAAATTAATATAATACAAAAAAAGAAAAATATATAAAAAATGAATAAATTCACTACTATTTTAGTATTCTTATCCTTATTTTCAGCAATATATGCTTTATCTGATACAGAATTAGTTTAAGTATTTAAAAAAAAATTCTAAAAAAATAATATAAAAATAAAAAAAAGGTCAAAAGCAATCCTTTTGGATCTGCTTTAAACAATTTATTAGAAATGCACATGCTTTCATAGGATCCTTCAGGAAGATTGAACGAAATTAACAATGTATTAGACTAAGTTGAAGAATTATTGACTAAATAAAATCAAGATAGTGAATAATGGATTAATGGAAGAAAAGCCTAATGCTCTAATGATTAAGATTAATTATAATAATAAATAAAAAGTGTTCATGATAGCTTAGAATCTGACAAAGAAACCACAAGATAACATTACGAAGAATAAAAAAACAAATAAGGAGATTTAGATAATGAAAGATCCAACTTATCTACATCTGAAGAATCTTTAAGAAACGCTAGAAATAGTTTAGAAGATTAAACAAAAAGATACGAACTAGCTCATGCCGATTATTAAGAAGCAATAAAAGCTTGCAAAGAAGCTTTAGAACTCTTGGCAACTTTAAGATAATCATCTTTCATTTAAGCTAAAACATAAAGTAGATTAGTTACTGTTACTGCATTAATTTAAAAGCACGTCCCTGCTAAAACTTCCGCCTTTGTATAACCTATTGTTAGCGTTTTGACAGAATTAAGTACCTCGAATAAAGTTGATTAAGATAAATTGAAACGAATCGTTTCACTTATTGAATAATTATTAGAAGAATTATAAAAATAATTAGGTTAATTGGAATCTTCTAATATTATCACTGTTGAAGATTTGAATAGCTTAATTAAAAAAACTGAGGAATCCATCGAAAATTCAAAAGGTTAAATCAAAAGTTTAGAAGCTAGATTAGAAGAACTTAAAAATCTTATTGAAAACCTGAATGGAGCTATCTCGTCTAATGAATCAACTCATGAATTATTAAAAGACGCTTTAAGTAAAATATTAAATAATGTGGAGACGATGAAGCGGAATAAAATTCTGAATAAACCTTAAGGTATTTTTTTAAAAAAAAATTCAAAATTATATTAATAAATAATAGAATTTAATAATTAGATATCTTAAAAAGATTAAGAGTTCATTTCCATGAAAAGATTGTTTCTTCAGTTGAAAATATTGAAAAAGATACTTATTATGATGAATTGCATAGATTTGATTGATGAGAGTTTAAAAGTTATTTTATTTTTAAAGATATAGAGAATTTTTTCTTTACAAAAAATAACTTTAAAATATTAAAATAAAAGTATATTAAGCTTTTTATGTTTTAGAATATATATTTTTTTATTATAATTTAGATAATATCAAAACTTTTTATTTTTACATTTTTAATATTAACTTTTAATTATTTTATTATTTAATAAATCATTATAAATATTTTGTAATAAATTAGATAAATTTAATATATAATCGATTTAAATACTATTTATAAAAAAGAAAATAAAGTTATAATATTTCACATCAAATATAGATGTGATATTTTACAAAAGGGTTTTTAATATTAATTCATTAATTTTTTAATTAAAGATTTAAATAATATAAATAATATATTTATTTATTTATTAAATTTAAAAAAATATTTAAATATATAATAGGAAAAATAAAATAGCATTTTAAATATATATGTTATTATTTAAGATTATATTATAATATTCTATTATATATATATAATTATATATAAATATATATTTTCATAAACTCAAATTAAAATTAAAAGAAATATGTTAATTTGAAGTAAATACAATTCCGTTGCGATTAGAATCTAGCTATTATATTAAGCTATTACTAAGTAATATTCCATAATGCATATTTTCTAACATATATACATTAGTAATATAAGCATTTTTATCATTTAAAGCAAATACTATATTTTCATTTTAATTACAGTCTTACTTTTAGCAGCTAATACAAACCTTATTTTTCAAAAAAAAAATATCAAAATAAAATAATACAATTTTATTAAAAAAAAAATGATTTTAAAAAAACAAAATATTACATTAATAAAAGTATTTGAATTATTAGTATTAATTTAAATAGCAACATTTTCGTTAAGATCTACAAAATAAAGCAATAAATTATAAAAAACCCTATCTAAAATATCAGGATCTTAAAAAATAATGGCAGGAACATTTTATTTATAATTTAGTATAATATTGAATTTATTATTTGATCTTTTTTACATTTTAAGAATGACTTTATTAATAAGTTCTTAAAGATTAATTTATTTTTTGAGGGGTTAAAAAACTCCTGAGATAATCAAAGAGGAAGTTTAGAAATCTTATAGAAGTTCATTTATTGATTAGATTTTTCCAATACATCCTTCATAATCAAGTTATTAATTAGGCATGTTTTTGATTGTATATAAGTATTCATGCATATCTTTCACATCGATAGAGAGTTCTGTGATCATTTTGGAAATAAAAAATGACATATTAGAAATAGCTTAAAACATATTCGAAAAAGGATTATTATTTTCAGTAGGCTTAATTGAAAATAAAACAAAATTATCATTAAATTTTTGCATTTCTATTTCTAAAATAGCAAAATCTTCGAAAAACTATTTTAAGCTCAATTATGATTTATATTAATTTTATGGTTATTATTTACAAATTGCACAATACATTATTTCTTTAAAACGATCTAAATTTAAAAAAAGTCCTTTTAAGGAAGATAATTCACTTATATGTAAAGGTTTTTCGAATTAGTTGATAAAATCTTAAAAATTAACAACTTTTTCTTTAAAGCTATAGATATTTTTTTATTCTAATAAACATTAATATATGTTTTCAACTTTACAATTTAATATTCTTAGTGATTATTAATTCGCATATACAACTTCGTTCAGCTCAGAATTTATAAGTACAATTCCCTAAGAAATATTTAATAAGACTAAGTCTTAGATTTATATTTTTTACTGTTAATTGTCATCATAAAGTTCTATATGTTAACTTTTTATAGAGTTTTTTTTTATGTTATTTATTGGTTATTCAATATCTATTTAGCTATCTTTTTCTGTATTTAATTATTTATTAGTAGTATTATCTTCAATTTTATTTATATTTATTTCACGGTTCGTTTCTAATCCATCTCTTTGAGATATTATATTGTTATTATTTACTCTTGGAGATACAACCTAGTTGTTTGTTATATTTTTTGATTCGAAAAAATTCGGCATTTAACTATTATTACCACCAAAATTTGGTGAATAAATAAGATTGTTCTAATTAGAATTTTCAGGAGGAAAAAAAGGAATTTTTTACAGTGTTTATTTTAATTAGTTTTTTTTTTTTTCTGAAAAAACATACACAATAGAAATAAATATTACAAAAGTTATTAATAAAAAGATAAAAGATGAAGGTATAATTCGTAATAAAGAATAAATGAAAAGAATAAAAAATATTATTACTTTTTTTGAAATTATCAAAGCAAAATATGAAAAGAGAACACAATAAAATACTATTGTTTATTCAAAATAAAAGTTAAAATTTTATTTTTCAAATGCAATTTTACTTAATGTTATTATTCGGGTTTCCATATATATTACAAACGTAACTATTTTTAATACCCAATAAATTATTTCTAATTATTTTTCATTAATTTATTTTATATTTGGAATAATTAAGAAAACTAAAAGAATAGATATTATATAAACTAATATTCCTTTTGTTATATTTGTGTTATTTTAGTATATTTCAAACGAATAGTCAAATATTATTAAAAAAATTAAGATTATTAAATCTTTTATTTATAATAGCTTTTATATCTTTAATAATACATATACATTTTTTACATCGTTTATTGCTTATATTTGTATTATTTACTTTTAAGGCTTGTTAGATGCTTCTTTTACAGAAAAATTTATCTTATCAAGTTATTCAAAACGTTTTTTAGGAGATTATAAAACTAAATTTTCATTTTTTATAGTCATATTTTTTTCAACAATTGATTAATTTAAATTCGAATTTATTTATGACGATTGTCTTCGTAAACTTTAATTAATTTAATTATCAATTTTTTCATCACCAAATGTCAACATTTTTAATTTTATTTAATGTATGTTTTTTTAGATATATATTTTATTTATAAAAATTAATTTTTTATTAATTGTAAATTTATTTTTATACTCAATAATTAAATTAATATTATTTTAAAATTTTCAATAATCATTTATCAAAATTTAAAATAAATTCTATTTTCATGTTTAAAAAATAAACAAATTTATATTTTATAATTGTATATAAAATTATATAATAATTAATTAAATAAATATTAGTATTTTATTATAATATTAATATATTTTTTTTTTGTATTATATCTAATGGATATAAAAAAAAATTTAAAATTTAATTAAAAAATAAATTTAAAAACACAATAAACTATAAAAAAATCAAGACAATAATTAAACAATTTTATCTTTTTCTGGGTGAGCTAATACTAATTATTAAACTAAACTTTTATAACCTTCATTAGAATTGACTGCACTCTATAAGAATTAGACAACTTAAGCTTACATATCTTAATTGATTTTATATTTTTTAATACCTCCGAGTGCGTCTACAAAGACTTCCAATATTTTATTTATTTTTGTTAAAACTATATTAGAATAATTATTACATAAAAATAATAAAGTCTAAACAATAGTTTTTTCTTCTTCTTCATCTCCTTTAAGAGGTACAATAGCCAAAATCTACTCCAAAGCTTAATCTAAAGGGAATTATGAGGGTACAGTCATCATAACTCTGCAAAGTGCAGCTGCAGCATTATCTTTAGCTGCTAATTCAATAGAATTTGCGAATATATTTTTGAGAATTCCACAAATTTAAGGAAGAAAATTTTATACGTATTATAAACCTTTTTCAACCATATTTCCAATGCAAAATGCTAAATTTCTATTCATGTCATCATCTTATAAAGTGATTTTTTCAAAAAGTACGGGTAAAATAGAATCTTTAATAAAAGATAAGAAATTAGGAGTATATTTAAAAATTTAAGCGAAGCAGCCAACCATATAAACATTTTCATTTAATTCACGGTCTTCTCTTAAATAAACAAGCATTTTTGGATAGATTTTCTAGAAATGTAAAGCAAAGGAATCGCCTAAAACTTTACAAAGAATTGGAATAAGATCACAAACAGCTTCAATTACATATCCTTCAAGTTCTTTTTAAGAATCATCCGAATTTTCGTCTTTATTTTCAAGAAGATTAATTATACTCAAAGTTAAATCATCTAAGTTTTTATCAAAAGAAGCAGGGCCGAGTTTTTTGAAAACTTCGATTAACATTTCTATTGCCATTGCAGTTACTTCAGGGTCTTCTTCTTCATTTAAGTAATAAAGGAATTTTTAAAAGATATCAATTTGAATTACGTTTTCAATTTTCTCTTAGAAACGTACTTTTACAGGCAAGCCTTTTTCGTAAGTAGGTAATTTTCCATTATTTGAAGTCATCACCATTCCAATACACAAATCTTTGTAACATTTCGATACTTACTAACGGACATTTTCATTAAAGTAATTAAAGTTTTATTCACATATTTCCAATGCCCTTTCATAATAAGGAGCGTATTTCATAGGGCAAGCTACTGCGAATTAACCTAAAGCAGTAATAGCAGCTGATTTTTCCATTATAAAAGATGTTTTAACATTTAAGTGACCTTAGTGTCCATGATCATCTCCTTCATCTAACAAATTATCGTTTCCACTTTCTGAATCAGAATCTAATGAAAAATCTCCCTTTTTTTTTCCATCCAAATAAAGTCCTTCTTCAGAAGCAGCCTATTTTAAAGTAAATTCAATTATTTTATCAAAAATAGGTTCGAATTCATTTCCAATAGCATTAGCCAAATTATAAAAGAATGCAAAGCAACCTTCTCTCAATTCAAAATCATCAGCTTATAACAAATTTTAATAAACAATTTCAACACAAGGTTATACATATGAATCGTAAACTTTTCTATCTTCTTTTACAAAAGCGCCTGCAATTTTTCCCAAGCAATTAATTGCTTCTGATTTTAAAGGAATATCTTATGAATTTAAAATTATATAATGTAAAAGGTTTCCTACTTAATGTACATAAGGTCCAAATTTATGTTCTACAGTTGAAATACAAGAGGCTAGTGCAGAAATAGAAACTCTTTTCATCAAAGGAGTTGCATTTTGGGAAGAGGTTAATATAAAAGAAAGTTTTTCGACTACAGATTATAGATAAATCAAAAGATCTTCAGCTTCGAGATTATCGCAGAAAATATCTAAAGCAATAACAGCCTTTTCTCTTACTTTGATATCATCCAAATCAGTAAAACATCCTAATACAGCTGGAACTATTACTTAATGATATTTGCAAATATCTACAGGAAGATAATCTGCGAAATAAGTTAAAGATTTGATTGCAGCTCCACGAACTTCAGGTGCAGGATGAGAAAGTCCTTTAGGCATAAAATCATTCATAATGGGATTTTATAAATTTCTTGCAATTTATTCATAACACCCTTCAGCTAATTAGGCCAAAATAAGAAACCCGGAATTCATTTTATTAGGTTCATTTGAATGTATAAATGTTGTAATTTCTTCGAGAATAATCCCAAAGGTTTTTTTCTTATTCAAATTCAATGTGAAGGTTTGTAAAAGCCACAAAGCAATGTCTTGTATAGGTTCTTCACCTTCTTAAAGGACCTCTTTTTATTAAATTGGAAGAGTTACGATATGACAAATTGTTTTTATTAAAGCTTTTAATGCAGGAATATTTTTGTTCCAAACAGATTTGTGGAATTCAGTTGCTGAATAAATTAAATCTAAAGCAGTTTCCTTTATTCTTTTAGATAAATGAGGATTAAATAGTACTTTTTGTGAACATAAATATTCTACAATGGGAACAAGGTGAGTATCAAGAATTGTTTTTTTATTTTCTATTAACAGATTCAAAGCATCGAAACAATAGAATATTAAATCTTCATCTTTTTCTTCTATTAAACTCTCTAATACTTACAATATAGGATTTATTAATTATTTATATTAAGTCAATTCTTCTTGTTTCATTTCATGAATATCTTCGAAAATATTGACAAGACATCTCACAGCCCCGATTCTTATTTGTTTGTTTTAATCTTACAAAGATGAAGAGAAAAAAGGTAAGAAATTCTTATATAAGTTTTTCAAAGAATGAGAAGAATATTCTAAAACAAGTTCCAAAAGTTAAATTCCATAAATTCTCATTTATAAATTTTAATTACTTGCATCAATTTATTATTAAATTGTACTATAAAGTTCTTCCCATTTTCCTTCACTTAAAGTTAATTTGGCAACTACCCCTACTAAAATTCCTATATATTTTCTTACTGATTATTATGTCTCTAAAAAGAATCTTTCCAAAAGAATTCTTTACAAATCCTTTTATGCATCGGCATTTAAATTCTCAAAGTTTATAACCATATTTCTCTTTAATAATATACCTGATAAATGTCTTAAAGATTAGTCATTACAATTAGCTAGGATGTACGTAAATATAGCTATTGACTCAGTCTTTTTGGTAAATTGTTTCATTATTTTTGTACCTAATTTAATCTTTTAGTTATCACCTGATAGAATTCCACGCATACATTCAATGGCTTCTTCAATATTTTTTATTTCAGGAAGGGGTTGTTATTGTTCTTAGGACATTTTTTTAAAGTTTTTTTTTTTTTTTTTTTATATATTTTTTTTTTTTATTTATTTAATTTTTTTTAGCTTTTTTTTTTTTATATTATTATTGTAAAATGCTAATTTTTAACCTTTAATTTTAGACATATAAATTTACTATTTTTAAACAGATATTTTTTATGTAAAAACAAGAAGTTTTTTGATTGAAAAGAAAATATGATTTGTTTATTAATATTAAATAAATTTGTACTTTAATAAATTAAATATTTTCATATTATATAATTTTAGATTTTCATTATAAATAATATATAAATTATTTTATGTTTTTTAATATTTATTAATAGCAATAAAATTATAATTTATTTTTTTTAATTATATATTAAAAAAAACAAAAAAGTACCTTTAAAGTTATGAATAATAAAATGTATTAGTATTTATTTAAAATTAAAGTTAAGCATTTTTGATTTCTTTATTAAATATTATTATGTTATTAAAATTTTAATTTATAAGTAAAAAAGTTAATTTCTTGTTATAAAAATAACTAAATTAAATTATATTTAAAAATAAATTTTATTTAAAAATACATATAATAAAAAATAAAAATAAATTCAATATTTATTTAAATAGATTAAAATTTATCTTTATTGAATTAGTATTAATTTATTTATATTTATTAAATGCAAATTAAATATTATTTTATTTCTTTATTAATTATTATTAATGTTATTTAATATTTTATTATATAAATTAACTAATAAATTTCTTTTTGAAAAAATAACTAAATTAAATTACATTTAGCAATAATTTTTCTATATGAATAATATATAATAAAAAAATAAATTTAAATAGACTAAAATTTTATTTTCATTAAATTCGCATTATTTTTAATTAATAAAAATTAATTTAAAATAATAAAATATATATTTATTTTTTATTTTAAAATAAAATAAATAAGTAACTTAATTCTAAAAATATAATATAATTAATAAACATCAATTGAACAATAAATGAAGCAAACTTAATAATAAAAAAATCAGCAATAAAAATAAGACAGATAAGTAAATAATATTATTTTTCAATATAAACTAAATTTAAGGATTCATAATAAAATATATCACCATCAATAACTTTTGAAAAAACAATAGGAAATGGAACTTTTGGCGTTGTATATTTAGTAATATTTTAAAAAATATAATTAATTATATCAAATTAATTTAAAATAAAATAAAACTCTTAAAAAAAAAAATTATATCTTTATTATTCAAAAATAAGGGAATATTAGATGATACTAATGAAAAAGTAGCAATAAAAAAGGTATTTTAAGACAAAAGATATAAGAATCGTGAGTATGAAATTATAAAATAATTAGATCATTAACATATAATAAAATTAAAGCATGCATATCATACATAAGGAAAAAATGTAATAACCAAAAAATATTAAAATCAAAACAAATATGATATAAATAAAAATAAAATAATAAAATAAAATAAAGGAAGATGAAGTTTATTTAAATTTAGTAATGGAATATGTACCTGAAACTCTCTCAAATATAATAAAATATTATCGCAAAAACAAACAGCCATTTCCCCCTTTATTATTAAAAGTATTTTCATATTAAATGTTTAGAGCATTAGCATATTTAAAAGGCATAGAAATATGCCATAGAGATATAAAACCATAAAATATTCTATCAGATTCTTCAAAATATTTATTAAAAATATGCGATTTTGGCTCAGCAAAAAAACTGATAAAAGGTGAGCCTAATATATCATATATATGTTCTAGATATTATAGAGCTCCTGAATTAATTTTCGGCGCAGAATAATACACAACACAAATAGATGTATGGTCAATAGGTGGAAAAATAATTATATAATAAGCATTTTATATATATTTTATATATTTATAATTTAATGTATGCATGTTTTTACATCAAAAACAAAAAAAATAGGAACTGTCATTGCTGAAATGATTTTATGTGAACCTCTTTTTCCTGGAGAAAATGCAGTAGATTAATTAGTTGAAATTATAAAAATATTAGGCACTCCTACTTAAGAATAAATTCTTAAAATGAATCCATAGCACAATTAATAAAAATTTCCTTAAATAAAACCTAGTTCATGGTCAAAAGTAATTATTTTGTAAAAAAAATTAATACTTTTAAAGATTATTATTAAAAATTACTAATTTATTAGATCTTTGCAAAACAAAAACTAGATCCTGTGTTAGTTGATTTAATTAATAGATTGCTAGTCTACATTCCCACTGATAGACCTACCCCTTTAGAAACTTTACTTCATCCTTATTTTAATGAACTGAGATAAGAAAAATTTTGCTAAGCTAATCCAGGTTTACCTGATTTATTTAATTTTACAAAAGGTTTTATATTTAATTTAAATTATTTTTTATTTATTTATATATTTTTATTAGAAGAAATAAGTACTTAGCCATAATTAAAAAACGCTTTAATTCCTGATTGGTATAAGAATAAATAAATTTATAATCTAAATGACGATTTTAACCAAAAAGTCATTTTTAAAGGTTAAAATAACAATAAATGAAAATTCGTAAATATAAAATCTAAAGAAACTTATAATTATAGTTTTAATAAAAATATTATTAGTAAAGTTTTTATTTAACTATTATTTATATTGTGAGTAAAAATTTATGAATTTTTTTTATTATTATTATCTTAATTAATAATTAAAATATATAATTAAAAAAAAAAATATAAAATAATAAATTTGAACTTTTATAATTTATATGTTTTCTGGTTTTATTTGGAAATTTTTACATCTTGCTATTAAAAATTTAAAATAAATAAATTTCTGAATATATTAATAACTATTTAATATTAAAAGAATTTAAAACTAAAGATTAAAATATAATTAGGTTAAAATAATAAAAGTTAATAATAAAAAAGAAAAAAAAATCTTTAATAAATAAAAAAACAATTAAAAAAAAAACAAATATTAAAAATAAAAAATGGACACAACCAAAGAAGTTAAAAAAGGAGAAGAAGAAACTAAGAAGGCCAAGGCTAGAATTACATTAACATGCAAAAATTTAAAGTCTGTAGAAAAAGCCTCAAATGAAATTATTACAAGAGGAAAAAAAATCGAAAACGTGGAAGTTAGAGGACCTGTTAGAATGCCAACTAAAATTTTAGTTCATACAGTAAGAAAATCACCTTGTGGTGAAGGTTCCAAAACTTGGGAAAGATATGAAATGAGAATATATAAACGCGTTATTGATTTAACATGCTTAGTTTCAGATATTAAGAACATTACTAATTTTAGAATTGATCCTGGTGTTGAAATTGAATTAACAATAACTTCTGACGAATGAAGAAAACAAAATTAAATATAATTATTTTTATTTTTATGTAATTATTTTTTATTTAATTTTTTTCTTTTTTTTTTTTGATATTTTTTTTTTTCTACAATTAAATAATGCTATTTTGGAAATTTTAGTAAACTTTATAGTAAATTCTTTGCTCATTATTTTATTGTAGTAAAAGTTAAAAAATTTCAAAAAAAAAAGAAAATCAAATTAAATTTTTATTTAAACAAAGAGCAAAATATTTTTTAAAAATTATAATTAATATTTATATAAATTAAAATATAAATATAAATTAAAGTAAATATATAATAAATAAAATTAATATAATATAAAATAATAATATAATATAATATAATATTGAATATTTTTCTCTTTTTTATTTATATATTATATTATAAAAATAATGTAAATACTTAATATTTAAATATATAAATGTATTTAATTCATAATATAAATATATTTTATTTATATTTTTCAATCAGATCGTAAGATTTCTTCATTAAAATTTTATTATTATATTAATATATATTTATTATTTATTAAATAATTAAAATTATTAAAAAATAAAAGATATTTTATAAAAAAAATATATATAGCTTTTCTAAAATAAATAATAAATGAGTATATCAACTAAAATTTAAAATGGAATTGCTAAAGGACTTCAAGAATATATAAATCCTGGTAGATTAATTGCATTAAAATAATTTTCATTAATAATTAAATATAAATGAATAAAATATTACTGCAAATAATAAAAAAAATATATTAAAATATTTATTTAAAAAAAAAGCCAAACTAGCTCCATTAAAAAAACCTGTAAGGACTTAAATGATGGAAATGGATGGTTTATAAGAATTTGATAAAGGTTTATATCATAATAGAGATTATGAAAATTTAATAAAATATTTGGTTACTTCAAGGAAATAATTTAAGTAATTTTTATTATATATTTTTAAATTTTTTTAAAAAAAGATAATCCACAGATTAATTAGAAAGAAAAAATTTAGCCAAATAAGAGTTTTCCGAATGGAAAAAATATATAGAAGTTCGCAAAACATAATTGACTGAAGATTTTTAAATTCCAGATTATTTTAAAACTTAATTTAATGAAGCTTGGTAGTTAGTTAAAAATAGAAAAGAGTCTATACTTAGTCCTCAAAAAGTACTTGAATTTCATTATGAATTAATGAAATCTTATAAATTTCAAGTCCCTATTGAACCTCATTTACTTGTTTAAATGATTCATCCACACTAAGGATATTTAAGCCATTATCCTGTAAAAAAATATTAAATAAAAAATATTTAATTATTCTTTATAGGGAAGTTTCTCTTAATAAGATTTAATGAATATTTATTATTATAAATTGGTAGCTTCTATGGAAAGATCTTTAGGTTAAGATTTGCTTGCAAACGAAATTTCTGCCTTTACTTATTGGAATTTATATGATAAAGATGAAGAAGGTTCTTTTGATCTTTAAAAATTTGCTGAATTTATGAAAGTTCTTTTTTTTTTATTACCAATTCTTATTTTTTTTTAAGACATTTAGATTTAATTTAAACGGAAGTTTGAGTGACTTTTAAAAGTAATTTAAATTTGGTTTAAGTTTAAATTAAGGTTTTTTTTATTTATTTAAATATATAATTTATTTGATATTAAAAACATTTAAAAAAGGCGAAATAAGTAGAGATTTATAGGAATAGGAATAAGTTATTAGATTTGATTTTTATAGATATATATTTTTAGAAAGAAATTTGTGATTATTTTTGTCAAAAATAATATTTAAAATAAAATAACAAATAAAACTATTTTTATTTTATAAATTTATCGATATGTTATATAAAATATATTCATTTTATTTTCATATTTAAAAAAAAGAAATGAATAAAATTGTTAATATTTATAAAATTATGTTTTTTATGATAAAATTATTATACTTATTACAAACAATCAAAAATTTCATATTTTTTAATTTTTTTTATAATTATTGAATACAATTTAATTACATTAAATATTTTTTTTTTATATTAAATTAAATTATAAAATTAAATGAAAATATTCAAAATTAAATATCAGGATAAACTTTTTACAATTCAATCATTAATCTAGAATTATTAGCATTTAAAACAATTGCATTATTATTAATATATAAAAAAGGTTTATTCTAAAAAATCATTTCATTTTCAATATCTCCGATTTTTTTAATATATAATTATTCATATAACTTATCTGACTCTTCATAGCTTATTGCTTAATATCCTATTGGAGAATTGCAAAAACATTTCCATCTAAATTATTATTCAATTCCTATATTTATTAATTTTATAAAGTTAGAAAAAATTGATATAAACACTAACCGTTTTCTCTTTTAAAATATTTAACACCGTCTTTTTTTAAAAAAGTTTTAGCAAAAATTTTACTTAAATCTATCGCTATACTTTGATAATAATAAAAAAATAATTCTTATTTTTTTAATAAAATAAACAATACGCATTGTCTGTTTTTCTTTAAGGTAAATGCTCTAAATTTATGTTTGCTGCTAATATAAATTTTCCGCATATTGCGCAATAATATTATTAAAGTTATTCTTCTTTTTTTTCAAATCTATCATCAGAATAGAAATTTTTAAACTTTTTGTTTTTTAAAAATTATATATTTTATTTATTTTAAATTTTTGTTTACATTTATTCTTGCTTCTTTTTTCTTTTCATCATTATTTTTATTGGCTTAAATTTTTAATGCTGCAAGTGTTATCGATTCTTCTTTTCCTTACTACTTTTTAATATATCTGTTAATAATATCGTTTTCTTATTCCATTTTTAAATATATTTTTTTGATAAAAAATTAGACACAAATATTATTTATAAATTTATTTAATAATTAAAAAAATATAATAATTTTTTGAAAATAGATATTATGTTATATATATAACTTTTAGAATAATACATGCTAAAAAATATCACATAAAAAAAAATTCTAATAATTTTAATTTTACAAATTAAGACATTAATAATTTGATTGTCATTTAAATTAAATTTTTCAAAAAATATATAATTTAATAAAAAAAAATTAATTTAATGAAACAAAATAAAAATATTATAATGCATTTAATAATAAATAATATTAGTGTAATAATTATTCGTTTTTATTCATAAATAAGCTTTTATGAATATAATATAATAATAATATAACAAAAGGGTGTGTAGCTCAATTGGCAGAGCGCTTGATTTGCATTCAAGAGGCAGGGGGATCGATGCCCCCCTCATCCATTTTTATTTATTTTTTATTATATATATAACAAATTCTATAATATTTTTATTGATGAGAAAAAGAAAGAAAGATGTTTTTATTTTTAATGACTATAATTGAAAACTAATTTTTATAGTTTTACAAAAATAAAAATAAAAATAAAAATAAAAATAAAAAAAAATTATTATTAAAGTTTTACTCGGAAATATTTTAAAAAATTTTACTGAAAATAAAAATAAATTTTTAAAAATAATATAAATGTTTTAAATATTAAAAATACTGAAATTATGTTAAATATAATGTATATAAATCATTATTCATCTAAAATATATGACTAAGCTAAAAAATTATAGTTAATTAATTTAACATGATAAGAAAAAATAAAAGATTTTTTGAAATTATAATATAAGATATCAAATCTATTTATACTACTTTTCAAAATGAATGAAATATATATATATTGGTTAAATTTAAATTAAAATTTTTGATTAAATATATTTTTTATATAAAAGAAAACAAATTAATTTATATAATTATTTTTTATAATAAATTATTGAATAATACTATAATAATTATAATTGTATTTATTATCATATTATATTTATATTTTAAGTATTTATTATTAATATTAAGAAAATATTAAAATAAATAAATAATAAAATATTATATGAATATATATATTTTATATAATTATATAATATATATATATAAATTTAAATATTTAATTATATTTTTATTTATATCTATAATTATATTATAAATATATAAATGTATACTTTTGTTATTATTTTAATAATATATTTTTTTTTTTAAAAAAAAAAAAAAAATTATTTAAATAATAAATTATTTATATAATTTATTTATAGAATAAATTAATTATAAAAAAACTAAATTTAAAATTAAAAAATAAATTATATAAATAATAATTTATTCAATTTTTATATACACTAATATTTTTTAAATATAAAAATAATTATTTTTCTTTAAGAGAAATAAAAATATTAAATTTTTTTAAATAAATATTTATTTAAACTAAATAAAAAAAAATTAATTATGAAATGAAAACTTTGTTTTTATTAATTTATTTTACTAATTTTCTAATAAAAACAAATATTTCTAATTACTTTTTATAAATAATATAACTTTTTTTAATCTTAATTTAATCATAAAAATATATTTGCTTTAATTAAATTCTTTAAATCTTATTTTAATAATGAATTTTATCAAAAAAAACATATAAAAAGTAAAATAAAAAATATAAAATTTTAAGTTAAAACAGATAATGTTTAAAAAATCAACAGAAAATAACAGTATTATAAATAATCATAATTACTAATAATTACAAAGACTTCCTTCTATAAAATTAAATTAAAGGACTTCAATATCAGAGTTAGATAAATTAGAATTATTAGATAAATTTTCATAGCCTTTATTGTAAAAAACTGGATAAAATACATTAAGGACGATATAATTTATTATCCTACAATAATAATCGTTAAAGAATGGTAATGAGTATGAATAAATTTCTGAAAATAAGAATTTCCACTAATATATGATAATTATTCCAGATCTTCAACAAAGAAACACACAAACAATAAAGAAAAAAGTTTGAAGAAAATTTTAAAAGAATAAATGGAGAAGTAAAATGAACTATTTAGTAAAATATAAGAAAATCTTGAAAATAAAAAACAAAAAAATCCTAGAAATTTGATTTAATAATTTTAACTTTTTGAAAACTAAAAGGAAAATGCAATTATAAACGAAATTTAATCTTTGAAAAATCAAATTTCATAAATAAAACTATAACAAGTATAAAATCCACAATTTTTTAATCAATTATAATTATAATATTAATAATAATAATAAAGTCCTTTACAAATGATGCTTAATTAAATGATTATGACAATGATTTAACCGAAATAAGAAGAAATACCGAATAAAGATCCTTTTTCTTAAGATAATTATTTAGAAGAAGTCCTAAAGAAAGCTTTAAAAACAAAAATTTTAGATGAAGAGTTTAAAGAATATAAGCGTATTAAAAAAAAAAAGGGGTAAGATAATAGTTAATTTTTTCTTAAAAATACTGATCATGATCATAATAGTAATTCTATTAAAAGTATTTATTATTCATAAAAGACATCAGAAAATTCTTCGTAATAAAATTTTACTTAAGAAAAATTTGCTTCATAAATAAAAATACCTAATGATAAAAAAACACAAAGCAAAATATCAAATGAAAGAAAAACATTAGATAAAATGTCAAATAACACAAAAAAATTAATTGATTTATCGAATGAGAAAAGAACACAGAATAAAATGCCAGTTGAGAATAAAATATAAAAATAAATTCATCTAAACATATAAAAATTTTAAAAATATATTAAAATTATTATATTCATTAGTCGTTTGCAAAAAGAACTTGCATTTTCATAAAAAACAGAAAAGGAAAATTTCCTTAAATTATTCTCAGAAAAAAAAAAAATATGCGATGAAGCCTGCTTATAATATTTAAAAGATGTTTCTCAAAATGCATTTTTTTAAATTAAAAACTCATGCAAAACAGAATAAGATATTACTGAAATTGCTTTAAAAAAGTTAAATAAAAAGCAAAAAGAGAAAATATTTCAAGATAATATTAAAGATTTTAATACTTTAATAAATGATATTTTAGAATAAACTAATGTTTATTTAAATAATTCTGTTAAGCTATTCTTTGCGGAAAGTTTTTATAATTATTCTTTTGTTGCTGATGAAGTATTTATTTTATTGTTTTAAATATAACTTTTTAATGTTTTTTATTTTTATTTTTATTTTATAAACTCATTCATTTTTTTAAGTAAAGAAAATTACTATTTTAATTATTTTTAATTAAAAAAAGTTTCTCTTTTAATATGAAATTGATAGATTATAATTTCATCCAAAATATAATTTTCTAATAAATATTGATGAAAATATTAATTCTCCGATTTGGAAAATGTTATTCTTAGTTTATTTTTTCTTTAAAATATACATCCCTTAAATTCTTATTTGCCCATGGAATTTTTAATAAGATTAAAAGAAAAAAATTAATGAAAATTATATCGGAATTAAGAAAATGCTTATTATTTGTAGCGTTTTTTATTGGGCTATAATGGATATTTTAACAATAGAGACTTAAGTTGTTGATAAACAAAATATTATATCTGAAAAACCTATTGTTTAGACTATTGTTGTGAATAATAACGTTAAAGCTTAAATAGTTCCTATTTAAAATACTAAATATGAAATGCTTACTGGTATATTAAAAAGAGAAGATTTATAAACTTTTCTTAATCAAAATTCTAATTGGTTTGATTCTTTCAAAGAAAAAATCAATATATTCGCCTAATCTGTTAGAACAATTACCGATGTTTATAGAAAAGAATTACTTTCTGTAAGAAAAGAAGCTATGATGGAAAAAGCTAGTTTAATGTAAACTGTAATTCCTTAAAAATATAGAAATGGAAAGAATTAATAAAAAATATAATGAATAATATATATATATATATATATATATTATGTATAAAAAAAATGGTTTGATAAATAATTTATATTTTTTAATAATATGTTTTTCATATGCTAATTTACTGATTAATCAAAACTCAAAATTAGAATTATTAAAAACAATATTTTTATAATCAAAAAATAAAAATCGATCATGAATTTTAAAATAATAATTAAATATTTGTCTGGTGTTTTATGATTATTACGAAAAAATATGTTTATTTAAATTTAATTATTTAATATAATATATTTTTTATAATTTAAAAGTTTTATAATTACTTTTTTTGAAATTAAATAAACTTTTTTAATAATAAGTTCTAATTAATAATAAAAAAATTTTTAAAAAATTCAATATAATTATAATAAGGATTAACAAAAAATTTTAAATTAACTTCAAAATTCAATTTTTGAAAAAATATTTATAAAACTTTTTCGTCTTTAAAATTTAATCAAGAAATTTTATTAAATAGGTTTACTATAAATATATAAAAAAAAAATATATAAAGAAATGTCAGATTAAAAAATATTCAATAATATATGGTAAATTCAAAAAAAAATAAGTTCTGGTAGTTTTGGAGTTGTATATACAGGTTTTGAAAAAAAAATATTCAATAAATAACAAAAAAAGGTTAGAATATACTTACGAAAGAATAAGTAGCAATAAAACTTGAAAAAGATGACCCAGACGATGTAAGAACTTTAGATAAAGAAATAAAAATATTAAAAAAACTTGAAGGATTGCCAAATGTTCCCCGTTTATTATGGGATGGAGAAGAGCATACGTATCATTTGATAGTATTAAATCTATTAGGCAAGGATTTATCATATTATCGAAAGCAGTTGAAGAAGTTTAGCTTAAAAACAATATTATTATTAATAGATTAATTAATAACTGTAATTGAATAAATTCATAATCGATCCATTTTACATAGAGATTTAAAACCAGAAAATATACTTATGGGAAGAGACGAGAATTTAAATAATGTTTATATAATTGACTTTGGGATTTCCAAAATTTATTAAAACTATGAAGGTAAACATATAAAATTCAAAGAAGAAAAACCTTTTATTGGAACTACGCGATATGCATCTATCGCAGCACATAAAGGATATGAATTGGGAAGGAAAGACGATCTGGAATCTCTTCTTTATGTTCTTATTTTTTTATATAAAGGAATTTTACCTTGGTAGAATATCCAGGATATTGAAGAAGAAGATAGGGAATAAGTATATATTTTTATTTTTTTCTAATAATATTTAAAAAATAATTAAAAAAGGCAGTTTAAGATATGAAAGAAAAATTATCGAATGAAGAATTATGTTAAGATATGCCAGAAATCTTTGTAAAATGTTTATGTTATGTTAAAGGGTTAACTTTTTAAGCCCGTCCGAATTATTATTATATAAAGTAACTTTTTTTTGAATATGGAAAATCAATAAATATTGATTATGAGAAAAAAGAATGGGATTGGAATTTAGTGAATAATGAAAATAATAATGCAACAAAATCAGTAAAAACAAATAAATTAAATTATTAAAAATCTCTTAATGAATTATAACCTCCTCCAATAAAAAAAACTTTTACATAAAAATCTTTAACTTAAAACTCTTCAACAGATTATAAAAATACAACTACTATTCTTTCATTCAAATAATCATATAGCTCTGTTAATTATATTCCTTCTATTTAATAAATTAGTTAGTAAGATATTAATTTTGAGGAAGAAGATACAAATAATAATAATACTAAAAAATTAGACTGCTAATAAAATATAGAAGAAACATTAACAGGACTTTGTGAATATAAAAAAGAAATGTAAGAAAATGAAGATAATTATTAAACCCTAGAAAAAAAAGTTTAAAAATTAAATTTAACACAAGTAAAAACGTAAATTTTTATTTCAATTTTTTTTTTTAAAAAAAAACAAAAAGAATATTTTAAGAATGGAATTTATATAAATGTAAATATAATTTTAACTAATGAAAAATAAAAAAACATTGTAAAATAAAGTTATATATAAATACATAAAAATAAATAAATAAAAAATTATTTAATAAAACATCTTTTTTTTCATCCAATATCTTTTTTCTAACTGTTCTTTGGCCAAATCTTCTTTATAATACTATATACACAAAAAAAAGCAATACTTCCAAAAGGAGCATAAGAATTGATTCCAAAAGCATCAACAATAATATTATATAAAGGAACAGCATTTCCAATTCCAAAGAAAGAGCATAAAGAATGAAAAAAAAACATAAGATACCTATAAGGTAGCAAATCTCTAATAGTAATCAACAAGCCAATAATAATATATTTTTTAAAGGCTTTAGAGATAGTAATAGTGAAGAAAATAAAATAAAATAAAAACGTTACTTATATATAATTCTGACATTCCCAATAAGTAAATACCATAATTAATACAAGAAAAGTAAATCATATTCCTTTTCAGAAAATTCATTTATGAAATCCACGTAATAAAAGATATTTTTAAGTAACAAATTTACGAAAAAAATGTATATTAAGCAAATGAATTTTGTTCAAAAGCAAATTAATCTCTCATAACTGCCTATACTAAAAGATTTTTTAATAAGCCAAAGAGAAAACTTACCTAAATTAAAATATTCATTGCAAAATTAGTAAAAACCTTAGGAAAAATTAGCAAAAAAGAAATACTTTTTTTTTTTATTTATATAAATATAATTTTTCAAATTTCGTTTTTTCTATTACTTCATGACTTTAATGTTTAAAATAAGGTTTTATAATAAAAATTTATTAATAACCTTTTACTTGTAGCTATTTTTAAATATCATAGAAAAACAAAAACTGATAGATAAAAGTATCAACATACATAAATTTAACATGTTTCTATCATTTTTAATTCTTCACATAATAAGTTGTATTATTTGATATAATTTAAAATTTTCTTAAAGATTAAATAATATATAATTTTTTTGAATATGATTATATATATATTTTTTATTACATTAGAATATACATTAGGATATAGTAAATATATATTTTTAGAGGGTAAAAATTAAAAAGAGAATAATAAGGTAAAATTTAAAATTAGTAGTTAATTAAACATTAGGTGTATTAAAATTCAGGTTATAAGCTAGAAAAAAGTATTTATTAATATTATTTCTAAAATTAATTTATTTTTTGTTTTAAGAAATTTGTTTATTTTTTATTTTGCATTTAATTATATTATTTATTATTTTATATTATTAAAAGAAATGCTATTTTAAATAATATAAAAAATATTTTAAAATTAAAAGGAATATATATAAAAAATACAAATTTTTTTAAATAAACAAATATTTTATTTTATTTTTAAAACAAAATAAAAATTTTAACATAAGTTTAAAATAAAATATTAAAATAATTATAATTTTATATACAAATAATTTTAAATATTTCATTAAAATTCCCTTAAAATAAATAAGAAAATAATAATAAAAAAAAAATTACTTATGTAAATTTAAACTAAATAAATGATCTTCTAATTTAAAAAAAATTTATGTAAAGTTCGAATTTTCATTATTAATGCTAGAAATTTCTTATATTTCAAAAAAAAAAAATAATAAATAAATAAATAAATAAATAAATAAATAAATAATAAATATAATAAATCTATAAATATAATTTAATTTAATTTAATTAATATATAACGAATTACCTGTTTATAGAGATATATCTGTTTATTGTTATATAAATACTTCATTTTTTTTTATAGATTTCTATTTTTTTTATTTTACAGGAATTTATTATTATTATTTTAGTTTTGAAAAGTTTGAATTTGTGAAAAGTAAAGGTACTAACTTTTTAAATTATAAAAAATTTTCAATAAAATAATCTTACTAATTTTCATATATAACACACTCAGAAACATTATCATAACTAACTATTTTTATTAATAATTTTATATTATACTATAAAATTAATTTTATATTTATACAATTTTCTTCATCATTATTCTTTTTTGCGTTTATTATATAGCTGTTTGTATTAAAAGTAAAATTTTCTTTTTAACCTAAACTAGAATAAGATATATTTGAATTAAATACACCTATGCTGTCTCCGTTTAATTTTTTATTATTATATGAATATATAAGTTCTATTTCTTATGAATTTCCTTCTTTCATTACTTCTTTGTTTATACAAATATTTATGTTTTCGCATATAAGTCCATAGTTAGGTTCATCATAAACATCTAAAGATTATAAATATTAAAAAAACCACTTAAAAAAACTTGGTAGATTTTTACAAAGTTCTGTTAAATGTATAAAATTTTTCATCTTTTCAATTTTTTTTGCATCAAATTCTTTTTCCCAAGGTAAAGTTCCTTTTATTAGGTAAACAACTATATAAGCTAGATTTAAAAGATCATCTTTTTTTCCTAAAAAATCTCCTTAATGTTAAGAGAGGGAAGAAAATTTATAATTTTCAATTTTTTTTGAGAATATTTTATTTTTTAAAATTTTATGAGCGTAACCATAATCAATCAAAAAAACTCTATTTTTTTCTTAAGAATAAATAATATTATCCAAGTTCAAATTTCCATGCAAAAAATCATTTTCATGTATTTTCTTTAATATAATTATTAACTAAAATGCTATAAATAAAACAGTTTTTGTTTAAAATTTTCCACCAAACTTTTCCAAATAAAAGCCTAGATTTTTCCCTAAATTTGGAATTGAATAATATATATTTAATTCTTCATCACAATCTAATATTTACAGAGTTCCTTTAATTTCTTATAAACTTTAGATAAATTTTATTTCTCTTCTTAAATATGGCTTATCTTTTTTGCTAATTTTTATATATACTGTTTGATGGTGAATATGACTGTAAGCTGAATAAGTTAAGCTATTTTTAGTTTCTTTTATTAGATTTTTTATTAAATATTTATCACATGAGATTTTTTAAGTCATATTTTATTTATATATTTTTTCTATTTTTTTATTTTTATATTAAATAATTTCTATAATATCAAAAATTATTTTATAAATATATTTTTAATCTTAATATTCATATCGTATTTATTTAAATATTATTTTTTATTATTATATATAAATGCATATTTATTTATTTTTTAAATATGATTAATTAACTTTTTTTTTCAACTATGTTAGTATTTTTTTATTCAGTTTTTAATATTTAAATAAACATTTATTGATTATAGTTTTAATACACTATATAGTATAAAATCTAAATTAATTTTTATTTTTAAAACATTTAAATTATCTTTTTATTTTTTCTAATTTATATTACTTTTATAAAAAAAAATATTAATTATTAAATTCTGCAAAAAAAAATAAAAATATAATTAATAACTATATAATTATTATTTTCGATAAAAAGAAATAATAATTAATTATTTTCAATAAAATATACTTTTATTAATTTTTAAATAAAAAGATTTAAAATAAAATATCTTTTAATACCTAATTACCTTTATTTATTACTAGGGATACTATGATAAAGATAAACTTTATCTCGATCATTATCTGATATTTTTTTTACAATATTTTATTAAAAATAATCTTTTTTTCTAAAATTAATTTATATATCTTTCATTTCAAATTTTTAAAAAAATTCTCATATCATAAATCGAAATGTTATTTACAAAAAGAATATATTAATTTAAATTAATTAATTATTAATAAAAAAATTAATAATTAAATTTAAATAGTTTATTCAATAAATATTATTTATAATACTCTTTATAAAAAAATAAAACTTTTTGTTTTATTTTTTTAAATATTATTTTAAATTAAAAAAAAATATTTAAAAAAAATAAAATAAATGTTTTTCCAAAATCTGAATAATTATGAAAGTCAAGAAGATTTAAATCACATAACATAAAATGAAAACAAAGGACATAAATAGCATTTTTAAAATATCGAAAGTGTAGAAATGATAAGGGTTTAAGCAAATAGAATTAATAATTTAGAAGACCGTTTAGAAGTACTTTAAAAAGAAGTAGAAAGACAATTTGAAATACTTTAAGAAAGAGAATCAACTCTCTAATATTGGGAAAAAAATTATTTTTAATTAGAAGAATAAAGAAGTATTTTTTATATAATTACTATATATTTATAAAAAAATTAATATTTGTATATAAAGAAAAGGCTTTAGAGCAATAAAACATAAAAGAGGAATAAAAATATTTGTATAAAATGAAATAATTAGTTTTGTAGTAGTTTGATGACGATAAAAAAATAGTTCAAGAATTGTATGATATTGAATAAATAAATAATTAAATTTCTTATTATAAATCTCATTGTGTAAT